ATCAATATGTAAATTTTTTTGCTAAATATAAGAGTATTCACTACGTTTATGAGTCTTAAAAATTGACATGCGACAATTTTTTTATTTAACCTTATTTTTGTTTAAATTTGTTGCATTGTAAGTGGTGCGGAATGTGTGAATGTTTTGTTCAAGGCTGTAGTTTTATAGTACCAATTATTATGCAGCAGCTGGTGCCAAACTGCTTGTATTTTTACACGCAAGCTTGCGAGCGTTAATGTATTATTACGAACCTTATTTTTTCTAGCCTAAGTCGCAAATAAAAAAAGTGTTCATTAAAAGTGTTCACTTATTGGGTGGCACTTTTGCTATAATCACGATCTGTAGCATTAGAATATTAGCAGCATCTGTTCTCCGTTTTATTTGTGGCTATTGTTTGTATCTATTAAGCGTGCGTAGCTGTGTGGCTTGTGAGTGAAACTCATAATCTCTAGGTCGCTGATTGAATCCGAGACGTCGATATATATTTTTTTACTAGTTCGAGTCTTATTTCTACTTTTTATTGCTTTTTATTGAGCTGCTTTTTGTCGTGTTCTTGCTAATGTTTGTGAAGTGCAGTTTCGCCTCTGTGTTGAAAAAAATTGAATTGGGTTGTTGGTTGTACTTCTAGCTTAAGTTTACGAGGTAGTTAACACTTTTTTTGAAGCAGACTCAAAATTTTGAATTCAAATTTAGATTCAGTGATTCCATATTATGAAAAATATATATCTGATGCGTAATTAATTTTGCTATAGTGATGATGTCTAGTGTCTATAGACTGTTCTCTGATTGTGCATGTTGATGATGGACGATGTGGTTGTTGTTGGCATTATTTGCGTATGAGTGGTAGATCATCTGGGGTTGTGAAGTAGAGTACATCTCCGATTGGAAGCCGTGATGACTGTTGCTTCTGTGAAGACGCCTCTTTTGAAGCACGGCCTTAATGCAACGCAGTGCTTGTAGCACGAGGAAGGCACAGGGCAGAATAGGCGAAGTGTAGATGACAGAATAGAGGCTGAATTCGAACAGGAGAATGGTGAAGTGGACTCGCTCTTCGAAGCCATGAACACATTTGTCATTCAAGTTCAAGGCAGAAGTCAACTTGTGTATGTCTGTCCTGGGTTGTAAACTAAATAGCAAAGCAAGATTAGATTTAATTTTCTCTATCAAGATCAAGAGCTCGTTTTCATGATCCAAGCTTATTCTTGGTTATGTATTTTTTTACCAAAAAAACACTGGAAACCCTATCCATAGGATGGTCTCTTTTAGCACATTTTAAATTCCAATGTAAGAGCTTTTTTTCATATTACAGGCTAGCAAGGGTTATATCATGTTAAAAAAATTAAGTCAAAACTTGGATTTCAATCTCATTTTACCATTGTTGCTTAACCCTTATTAAAGCTATTATAACCTAATCAATGAATCTCAAAATCAATAGCCTATACTTTCCCAAGAAAACTGTCAGCGGAGCATTTTGAAAACTTTATAATAAAAACGTTTTTCGAGTTTTCTCTGTGTTAAGGGTGACAACAGTCTGTACTTATACAGCAACCGGATAATTTTATTAAATACTGAGTAAGAAAAGTCCTAGTCTTGTAACAATTTTAGAACCAAATTTTTGAACACAAGATAGCGGCTTCTGGTCAATCCTGGTAACGCAGAATAGCTTAAGCTACTTCGATCTAATGAAAATCTGTCTACTCCGTTTCACTGGCAGTCCTCCAATTGTCTGTTGGATATTTTAAAGTGGTTTGTAGTGCATGAGAAAATTTTCTTCTTGTGTTGATGATCTGTACATTTGAAACTTATAACGATATGAATTGTTTTTCGAAGTTTAAGTTTGCCCTTTTCCTTTTGTACTCAATATCAAAGCCGGTATACTGCTCCCTTTCTTTTTGGCAATTTATGCTCAATTCTATGTAGCATGTTTATAAGCTTTATCAATGCCTGGTTTTTTGGAGGACAGGAAAGCCGACTTTTTTGCTATTTCAAACTCCCTTTTGTCATTTTTGCTTGTTTGCGAAGTGCAGCTTCACCTCTCTTACTACGCAGGCGATTAACAAGTGCTATCGAATCGAGTGCTAGACCTTTCCTCTCCCTTGTTCTCGAATTGCGTTTGTAAAAAAACTGCTATTTTCTATTTTGTTTTCAAAATGGATATCCTTTGAAGCATAACATTAATCAAATGCGAAAAGGCACTTTGCAGAGTGCCAAGTTGTCCACTCCGACAGGGTCAAATCGTGTTATCAATCCCCTGCTATGGCAATAGTGTGTGAGCGCGAGCTCTCACTTGACCTCTGGGTTTAGGTCAAGTGAGAGCTCGGCTGCAATAGTGGAACCACGTGTAATTTCTAGACAAACAAACTACCTTGAGTCACAAAAAAGAGCTTCGCTTAACAAGATACCAGTTTTGAATGTAAAAACCGACTATGTCTAGACAGGTGGATAGTTTTTCATAGATCCTCTGCGAATCGCAGAAACCACAATAATTTTTTTCAGGTCTCGATCTCTTGATGGCTAACTTGAAATGTCTTTCCCGTTAAAATGTTGATTCTTATTAATCGTTAGTCCTATGAGCACTTGGCCTTGCTGCAATTTTGAGATCGCCAAAGGGTTTACAGCTCGAAGTTTTTTATATCGTAAGGGATGCGAAGCTCGTTTTTGCCTTTTATAAATTTCGTAAATACTTCTATGGCCATAGAATTTTTTTTACTACTAATCAGTTTACTTTGCTTGAATATCAAGTTGCAGCTAGTAATTTGCTCATTTTGTGGAGAACTAACGAACATTCTTCAGACGGCAAAGGTTCAACGGTCCATTGTAGCCAAGAGTTGTACTTCTGCTAATTAAGATTTTTCTTGGTATATCGATTTTTTGCGTATTTATGTCAGCTTGTTTCTTACTGCGTGGACATGATTGAACGTAGTGGTTTTGTCTCGGCTTCAGTGAGTCAGATTTCAGGCTAGGTTTTAATGTATCGAAGTGGTAGTATCTTAAAAAATTGACGTGTTCATAAACTAATGTTTAATATAGGCTCTGAGGAAATTTTGTGAGCTTTCATTTAAAAATTGTTTTTTTTTTTGGAAAACATAGGAAACTGTTACCCGCTGTTAATTGTGAATTCTTCAGCACAGACGCAATGTTTGCTAGACACCAGTTGATGAGTGGAATCTAAACATGGGTGGTAATATCCAGGCACCATTTGATCATACACTCCCAAGTACAACGAAGGCCCAATGTCAAATGATGATCTTTGTTGCACAACTTTAATATAAAGCACGAGAGCTGATGTGAAAGAAATGCAGTAAATAACTGTATAGAATAGAAAAATGACCCTAAACATAGAGCAATAAAGTGTTTTGTTACGTGTGTTAAGTCGTGTCTTGGACTGAATGTAAAAGAAAAATTGTAATGCTATTAAGAAGAAAACATAAAGAAGTAGTATTATAGCTGAAACTATCCAAAAAATGTAAATGGAAAGCGTCAAGTCCAATACTCGACTGTTTTTGAGAAGTTTAAGATTGACGAAACCAACTCCTGAACCCAAAACTACAAACGCAGTCAGGAGAATCTTGTGTGTGACATCTGAAAATAAGTGAAGACAACATAACAGCGATAGAGCCGTCGGCATTCTTAGTTTTGTGTTGTGTGTATGCGAAACAGTTCAAGTTGTTTGAAAGGTGAACAAATAAATTTCACAAGGATGATGATGACCTACATAGAAATTTAGAAGGCATAAAATTGAGTTTTATTGTAGTTGTTGTAGCGAGATGGTCAGAAATAGATTGGTCGCGACTGCTTTTTGTGTATAATGGATGGGTGATTAAAGTGAGATGAAGATTGAAGTCTGTGTTTGTTGTTTTCAAGCAAGGCTTTGTTTGTTTTTTGTTCATTCAGTGTTTCCTTTGAAGGCATACTCTGCCAGCAGCAGTGTCCTGCTTTTAAACTGAGTTCGAATGAGTTGTGGTAAAGCGATATAAGATTGGATTAAAATGGCATAAAAGGTGCATTTGATGACGCTTTTCATTGGAATTGAGAAACACTAAGGATTTAATCGCTATTGCAGTACAGCGAAGAGGAGAAAAGGAAGCTGCAATAACATAAGTGGGAGTAGATTAGAAATATGAAAAATGAAAACATCAAAGGTCGGTCGAGCTAGGAATAAGTGTTTACTGTCTTTTTTCCTCAAATCATTCAGTCGCAGCGTGCTTTAAAATCAAAAACACTGTATCAAAATTTTTCGAAATCCCTTTTTTGCACTTGAATATGATGTGTTTAAAAATGTTTAGAATTGATTGAATTTTTTTAACCCGTGCAATAGATGTGTTTCATCTGCTAATGATTAAAGCGATGATAATGGAATAATTTTATGGTCGTCACTTTTTCAGCCCCTATTGTAATGCAGTGGTAATTGTCATATCAGCATGCAGTAAAATGCTTTTTTATGATACACTATAAGTATGGTTCTGTGTGAGAGTGATTGTATAAGTGGTCTGTGATTTGTGTGCTGTTGCCAATTAGGAGGTAAGTGAGCGAGCGAGCGAGCGAGAGAGAGAGAGAGAGAGAGAGAGAGAGAGAGAGAGAGAGAGAGAGAGAGAGTGGAGCCTGCTGGGCGCCCTATGTGTGGCTGATGGCATCCGCTCTCTCTCTCTCCTCTTACCATCAATTGATGCTTGGTCAGTTTCAATTAACCGACACCGATATAAATGGAAATGTATTTCCTGTCTAGATTCCGACGCAATTGCCACCAGGGTTCTTCTCCAGAAAAATTGAAGTCCATAATTTTGGGTATTTTCGGACTGATACGTTTTTTGTTCAAAATTTTTTGCAGTTTTTGTTTTCAATTGTCGCAGAGCGAGTCAGTTATGAAAACCTGTTGATAAGCTTAGCTTTTGACATTTTGACAGAAAATAATTGACGTGATGATGAAAAATGGTGTAAAACTGACAGTATAGAAGATTGAATGTCAGTTAAAGAGTATATGTAAATTAGTATTTAATTGACTGATACTTGGAAGTACTGGCTCGTTTCAGATTGTGAGAGTAATGTCTAAGGCCCACCCTCCCGAGATGAAGAAGTACATGGACAAGCGGGTGAATCTGCAGCTGAATGGGGGCAGGAAAGTGCAGGGCATATTGCGGGGCTTCGACCCCTTCATGAACATAGTGATGGACGAGAGTATTGAAGAGCGGAAGACGGGGGAGACTTTCGACATTGGAATGGTGGTCGTCAGAGGCAACAGCATCATCATGTTGGAGGCGCTCGAACCAGTCAACTGACATGGGATGAAATAAAAGAGGATGGAAGAGCTCCATCATCCATGCTTTTAAATCAAACTTCTTACCTCTTCTTGCGTGACTTTTTTTGATGATCTCGTAGAAAGCCTGAGCTGTTAACGTACAACAAGTTCATTCACTGTAGGAGCCTCTTTTTCTGTTGTTTTCTTTGATTAATTTGTCTGGTGAATTTAACTGATTAGTTTGTGTCTACATGATAATTTTTTGTGTCCAACTGATACCCTAACTTAAGTAACACTGAACTAAAAATTCGTTTTCAGTGTCAATGTTCGCATTTATTATTTCACATTCACGCAGAATATAATATGTTACAAAATATTGGCGTCATTAATTAATCAAAAAAAAATCCATCGAAGAATTTTGCATATTTTTGCAATTTCAGGGTACTTTGAGGCATTAATTCAGTCTAATCAACAGTGTTTTTCTTGCAAATTTTTTTCCGAAAATGTCAAATGCCTTTTATAATTCATTTTTCTATCCGAATTTTTTGCAAATTTTTAGCTGGGTAACGCAACAACTTAATTTAGCGTTTCGGTTGGGTGATCCATTGGCTATTGGAATTTAAGCAGCACCTGCATTGCTCATAATAGAAGGTTGCTCGTCTCTTAAGTTGCTCTCGAGAAGGACACAGAGTATGTGTTAATGGGGTAAGAAAAGGTTGGAATACAGTTGCAATGCGAATCTATTTGAGGCTGAAAAATGAACTATCGAAAGTCTTGTGGGGTCGAGTATTTTTCATTCTCCTGACTTAAATTTCAAAGTGGATCAATTGTTTTATGTGAAAAAGAAACACGTCGCTTTTTTAAAACTGAAAGCTCCGAGTAAAAACAAACTTGAGCAATTTTTTTTTTCAGAATGAATTATTTATGAGACATGAAAGCGGATAACTATCGAAAGTTGTTGCAGCAGTCTATCAAAGCGTTGGCTCAGTTGTTTTTGAAGTTGCTATCTGATTTGAAATCCATTGAAGAAAAGTTGCTATCTTTACTGAGAGAATATTTGAACTACAGAAAACAGTTACTAATAACAAGAGATGTTCAATTGCCGTGTCATTTAGAAGAAGAATTTCCGGATCTCAGAGCTCTGTTGTCAATTATAGTAAACAGGGGCTCGGAAAAATTGAAAATTAGTATAGTGAAACTACTCGATATGTGGAAAACTGCATGCGATGAAATCAACACTAAGTTGAAAAAATTTGAGAATGACTTGAACTTGATATTTAATCCGACTTCAACTGATTTCAGTTCAGACGATATGAAAACTGAAGAGCTTCAAACATCCCTTGAGTTCAGTGCTAGTCCAGAAATTTTATACGAAGCTTCGCCCAGCTCTTTTTCACCAATCAAATGGTACGAACATTTCGCTCGATTAAGCCAACAAGTTGACCAGGATTACCTTTTTTGGAGATCGCATCTGAAACACATTTTTTCAGAACCACTCGAAATTGAGGTAGATTTGGAATCAGTTCCTGATAACTTTGAAAGCTTAAAACACTTGTGTAGGTTTGAGACTTTTTTCGCTGTCTACATGGAATTCAATTAGTGCTTTTGTTTTCTAGTTTTTTAGTCTTCATTTTTTTTATTCTTTGTTTAATTTGGTCAAATATTTATAATTTTCAATGTCTAGAAATGTTCTGGCTCAAATGAGTAATTTGTTTTTCCAGATGATTGTATGTTTGATGACGAATGGCATTGTTAATTGAACAGGCCAGTTGATGAAAACTTAGTGAATATGTCTGCCAAGAGTTTCCTCAGTGATCTGAAAGACAAAGCAAGAGTTCTGCGCAATACTCTCAAAAACTCAAGGCCGGCGCCTTCCATCGAAGCTTTGAATGAACCATTCGATTCCTCCTTTGACCGAGAACTAGAGTTTACTGGTCGGAAAAGGTCAAGTTCACATATTTCGAGCTCTTCCTGTCACAAAGAATCAAAAAGTTTGTTGAGAGAAAATGTTGGGGGAAAAGAGAAGCCAAGTCTCAAAAATAGACCCAAGAAACAGAAAATAGATCCAAAAGTGTTTGCACACGAAGACTCCAAATTAGCCCAACTGGATACACAGGCTGTGAAGGATGTGAAATTGCAGCCCAGTTTCCGACAGTCGAGGAAAGACTTCAAGAGCATGCGGGAAGAGAGGGAGGGGGAGGAGAGTAGACGGACTCTGTTTCTGGGAAACTTCCCTCTAGCTGTGAAGCAGCAGGAGCTGAAGAAACTCTGCGGAGCTTTTGGTGAGTACTGAATTAATTAGTTGGATCTTGTTTGAAATACGCTAGAGGCATCGCTTCAGCTCCATCGTCTGCCTTGATCGGATCATTGGTGAAGAACGATTGCTCTGTTGCCGATGTTGTAACGATATCTCTGGATGTTGTGGTTTTATACCTTCTCATGTTACAACATACGTAACTGTCGTTTTGCTAACCTGGTATACAGAAACGATTATATATATATATATATATATATATGTTTTTTTTTCTTTTTTTTTTCTTGTAGTTAGAAAATATTGGTTGAAAATTAGGTACGTTCGCTCTATTAGATTTGATTTTAATTGCTCTTTGTGTTCCTAGAAAATAATGGCAATGAACTCAATAATTGGCTTGTTTTTTTGCTCGCTAAATCAATAATCACATAAATATTAAGTGTTACTTATTGACGAAGAAGTTTCAGTCGTGATTCAACCAAGCTTCTTGAAACATTTTGCTGTTCGGAAATTCGGAACGGTTTCTCAAGTGAACTGATTTTTCTTTTCAAACTATTAGTAGTTTCTTGAGGAATATGGAGTCAAGACCTAAGTCATCTGCTCACATTCTCAGGAACCAAAAAATTCTGACCAACTTTTCTTTTTTGAGTTAAGAATACGCGGCTTTTTTCCTGTTTTCCACCCCCTAGTAAAATAACAATATAAAGGTGTTCAAAAATGGTTCACACGGCAATTTGCTTGTAAGGAAATGTAAAAAGTTGTTCACTTGTTCATGCTAACACGGTTTAAAGCAGTTTATAAGATGAAAAACATTTTAATAGGCTTTCATATATTGAGTTTCCGAAAAATTAAAGGGGGACTGGAAAAGAGCCGAATACGCTTCTGAGAATTAATATTGGTGTATTGTGAGTTCAGGACAAGTGTGCAGTATCAGATTCCGCAACATTTTCGGCAGCAGGGACAACATGTCCAAGGGGGTGGCAGCCAGACGGATGTCCTTCAGCGACTCAGTTACTCACTGTTGTGTCTATGTGGTGTTTTCAGAAGCAAAGGCCGCAACCGAGGCAGCCAAACACTTCAATGGGTTGAAATTAGGAAACAGACACTTGAATGCTAACTTGGCATGCGACAAGCACACGTGCAATGCAAGGTCAGTTGATTCACATTCATTCAAAAAAGTAGGCAATCTCAATATGTCTTAAACGTCCTTTTTACACTAGCGTCAGCTTAGTGTATTGTTACGAACCCTTTTGTTCTAACCTATCTCGCAAATAAAAGTGTTCACTTATTTGGAAATTTCACTGTAGCATTGGAAATTGCATAGTATCTGTTCTCTGCTCTATTTGTGACTAGTGTTTGGCTGTTACCTAATAAACTGCCGTGGCTGAGTGTTTAGGGCGTGAGAGTCTTAATCTGTAGGTTGCAGGTTCGAATCTCAGACGCAGCCGAATGTTTTGCTTTTTCGAGGATTATTTCTACTTTTTATTTCACTTGATAGAGCTGCTTTTTTGTCGTGTTCTCGCTATTGTTTGCGAAGCAAAGCCTCGCCTCTGTGTTTAAACATCATTTACGCCCATTTACAATTTTGAAAAGCTCCATTCCATGCACTTTTAATTTGTTGCTCCTCTACAAAAAGAAATGTTGAAAAATCGATTTTTTATGCCATAGTTTGCGTGGAGAAAGAGTTTGCGTGGGTCAGAAGAGTTCATACGAAGTAGTTTTTGAAGAATTTTTGATAGCAAAAAAAGAAGTCAAACCAGTCTTGACACTAAGATTCTAAGAGTTTTGATTTTTTCGGAAAGAGTTCCAAGGGTGTGGTTGGAAGAGCAAGGAGGAATGATACCGTTGTTGATATATTATCTCTAATTTGAGTCAGTAAATTTTATAAAAACATCTATTAGTGTAAAATTTAAAACCGAAATTTTTTAGGCTACTATGGTTCCCTTGTAAGTTCATGATTTTTAATTAAGCAATTTATATACTTTATTGGTACAATTCAACTATATATTATTTTTTTTACTTAGGGCTATGCAACTGTGGTTGTTCTGTACGTTTGGTCTACAGTTAACGTCCATGCCTAGTATTTCGAAGATCCGTGGTTCGAATCCGGTCACAACCTGTATTTGGACAGGATTTGTTCTTTTTGACCCTTGCGATAAGCACGGATATTACAACCGGGTACTAGATTTTTTATCCTGTAAATAACTTTGTTAACAGAATAGCCCAATGGTAAATTTTATACCGCTGAATTATTATCATGGTTGGAGTGTATTAACTGCATATGTACCGTTAGACGTTAAGGTTTGCCCGTGGACGTTAAGAGTTGCAAAGTTTTTTATCTGGGCCGAAAGTTTTCGGTAGGTTTTTCAGAACCGAAGTCTGTCGGCTTTGTTTCTGTCGGCTCATTTTTCTAATATTTTACCTTTAATTTTCGTTGATATTAGATGAGAACGATTGAACGCTGTCGAGAAATTTTAAAAAGTCTTTCTCACCCTCTTAAGCATTCGGTAATAATCTGTAATAAAATTGACATGAAAAATTGTCAAAACTATTTTGAATAGTTTTTTTAAAATACTTTTCGGCGTTTTAGTTCGTTTCTTAAATTAGATTACAACCTTTAATATAATGGTTGCGCGACCTGATGTGATTACTACGCTGGCGAACAGCAAGCGTTAGCGAATCGGAACATTAACCAAAATAGTTGAACCCTTTGCTCACTTTACAGATACCAATTTAGCCTGTTTATTTTGGAGGTAACGACCATGCTTGCGACGACAAAGGTAATGGGTTCAGTGCTGGCTTGGAGCTGCTTTTTAATTAAATGGTTTTTAAAGATTCGATAAACGTAGTTGAGTCTTTCATAGGTCGCGATGCCTTTTTTTCAGGCTCACTTTTATTTTTTCGCGATTTGAGTTTTGATTTCTTTTTAAATTCAGTTCACTTCCTTTGCAAACTCCACTATCGAACAGCGAAAGTTAAAATAAAAATTCACAAAAAACGTGATGGCCTTCTAGCTTCGGAAATGGAAATTAATATTAAGGCTTCCTAGCGAAGTAAAAAAATTTATCTTTTGATCCGTTTTTCTCAAATTGGGTTATTTTGTCGAACAAAGCCAGTCATCAATTGTTCTAGAAGTTCGAAAAGCTTTGACGGCATCTATTTTTTTCTTTGAAATTTAAAAAAGACTAGACAGTTTTTTTTCTGCTTAATTGCGTTCCTTGACTCTTTTACAACTGTCTGAAGGCTAGTTTTTTTCGGCCTAAAGTGTGTCTCCTCAAGACTTTTCGGCTTTGTTACCGCTTTTTAGGTTTTTTTCGATACTTATGTAACATTCATTTTAAAAGAATCTTTCAAACTCTTATATAGGTCGATGTTTTTGGTTCAGGAATTTTCAACAATTCACAGAATCGCATTCATACAAATTAATGTGTTTATGCATGCTTTTAGGTATATTTGCATTATTTGAATTAAGTTCACATTCATCTGCTAAAATAAGGTAAGTTATGCTCTCCAATTACGAAAGAGCGCTAATGGCCTTAGCGCGGACTAAAGCTCACGATAAACGTGATCGACTTCTAGTTTCGAAAGTAGAATTTTAATTTCAAATTTTTTGAGCGGAATAAAAAATTTACTTTTTGATCCGGTTTTCTCAAATTGGGTTAACTTTCTCAAAAAAGTGTCAATCATAATTGATTTAGAAGTTTGAAGTTCTTCAATGCCATCATTTTTTTTTTGAAATTCGAATTTTGAGATTTTTCAATTGACAAGTCTGTTTTTTTTTCACTTGGGTTCATTGACTATTTTCCAAGTGTCTATTGGCTGTTTTTAATTTCTATGCATTTTTTCTTGAAAAGAATTCAAGAAGAAGTCAAGACATAAAAGGAAATTTTTTTTTGACCAGTTTTTTTGATCTTTTTGCAAAACGAATTTTCTGTGGCTTTCAAGTATTTCAGTCGAATGTTTTGTCATGCTATATATGAGTCGATTCGACTCTGTTTCGTTATATTCTAAAGGTGCAGGTACTTGAGTTCCAAGGTTTTGTTTATGTGGAATTTGTATACTTTTTGAAAAAACAATTTCGTGAATTTTTTTTCTCGATTTGTCGGTTTATCTGCAAGAAGTGATAGTCATTCAGTTTCGTAGCGCAAGTGATGCAAAGCTCTGCTTCGCCTCTGTGTGCAAACTTGGCTAAACTGTTCGTTTTGCATTTTTGTTTCGGCATAGTCGACTCAGCACGCGGTTTTGTCGACGATTTAAGTGTTTTTCAGTGTATTTTGAATTTCGTTTTAAAATTTCCTTGCAGGTAATTGATTTCGAAAAAGTCTTGCTGATTTTATTATGGCACGGTAGTTTTTGAATGTCATCTGTCTTTTGATTATTCTCTCAGAATTAAAAAGCAAGACTGGAGCTTTGTCTATATCTTTTTGATAAGCAAGAGTATTATTAGAAGCAGTTTGTCTTTTTTCCTAAATGACACTTGTAAAAGTTGAACGAACGTCGATAAAAGAGGCTTTATTAGATTTATTGAGTAGATCAGATCAATCGCGCTGGCTTGTTTTTTCGGTGGCATTTTTTTCTAAGGCTCTTTGGAAAATTAATTTTTTGATAAAAATGAGTAGATGTGCTATTTTTTTAATTTAATTGATATGTGAAGCAGTCGCCTAAGAAAATGAACCCTTTTTAGATAACATTTTTGAGGCTAAAAGTAGGAGAACGCATTCCATGACATTCATGTACACATTGATGCTTATTGAGAGTGGTTGTGTTGAGGATGTCGGTGTTTGTGTCGCAACTACCGAGGGACTCGGACGAGGAGGAAGTGCGTCTCTCCTTCAGACAGTTTGGGGAGATAGTGTCTGTGAGGCTGATCAGAGACAGTGGTAGTGGAGAGTGCAAGGGACTGGGCTATGTGCAGTTCAACTCACAGGAACCACTCATGCTCTGTCTCAAAGCACAGCAGCACTTCTTCAGAAACAAACGCATCAAGTGAGAACAAAAAAAGGAAAACTAGGCTATAATTGAAGTTTTTTTCGGTTATCCATCCTACCAAATGGTTGTCTAATTTCGAGTTGATGTAAGGAATTCGAATGGCTAAAATAGAGTACCTGGCCATTTGATTTAAGGCACATCAGTTTGTTATTTAGTCTCATTTTGGGGGTACATGACAGGAAAGATTCAGATTTTTCAGTATCACAGAATTTTTTTTGATGTTAAAGCAAATTCATTAGTCTAATTGGTGCAAATAACTTGAAAATAACCTGCACTCAAGGAAAGTTGTGCACATAGTGCTTGCTGTGAGTCAGTATTTATATTGGGTCGAAGAAAACAAGAATGTTAGGCTAAATGATGTTATCGCCGTCTTCTCGCCTCAAGTGGTAAATTCACTATTGTGCATTGAGTCAGCGCTGCAGTAGACTCTAAACAAGTATTCAATGAGGTTATGTCAATAGTTCAAAAGTTGATAGTCTTTCTTTGTGGAGGGAGAGAAAGTGTTTACAAAATAATTTTTCAGAAACTTTGATAAATTGTTGCGAAGTTATAAACCTTAGGTTTTTAAGAGGCGATAAACTTAGTTCAGCCTCTTCTATAGGTCGTGATAATTTTTTATTCGAAATTCAAAAGTTGAAGATTTTTGAAAAATCAAGTCGGTTTTTTTCCAGTTTCATTGCATTCATTACTCTTTTCCAACTGTCCCGTATACTATTTTTCTTACAAATGGAAATTCAAGTTGAAGTTTCTTTGTTAATGCACCTCGAATGTTCGAGTCTCCTTCCCACTAGGCCTAGAGGTAACGCGATTGTCTCTGCACCTTAATCGAATTGTCGGGTTTTTGTTTCCTTGCTTATGTTTTGTCGGATTAGTTGCCACATTTTGGATTTTTTTGCCTGCAGCAATTTTCATCGGAGATGCAAGTGTTTTAGTTTTCCTGTAATTTATAAAATTAATAGCCCTGATTTTGTGGTTAAAAGCTTTCTTAGGCCTAAATATTTTGGCTCTTGTTTCATTGATTTAGTTACCTTGATTTGTGTCGCTTCAAGGGTAAAAATGATTGATTAAAAAATCGGGTAGTCTCTGTTGCAAAATTTTATAACAAAAATGGGGTAGTCTGTAATGCAAAGTCTTATTATGGAGTTGTTATGGAGTTTTCTTGTTTTCGGCTCAATGGTTGTCTAATCTCGCATGGTTGGCTTATTGGCCGATCGGTAATAACTAAAAACTAATTTAATGCTGTTTGTGTTTTTTGACTTTTTTCGAATTTTTTCCCACAATTTTGTTTTGATTTTGTTATTTTCGTCTCTTTTTCTATTCGCTAGCTTGCAATGCTGTGCTTGCGCTGTATCGCAAGTCAGCCAAAGCTCTGCTTTGCCTCTGTGTATAAACTCCTTTGAGTAGATTTTTTTTACTGAAAGCGTCTATTATGCGAGAGCGTCTTTTCCTTTTTCAATTCATGGAGTAGTTTGATCAAAGGCCTATTTTAATCGGGGCGGCTCTTCTCAGACAAATACGGTATGAAAAAATAATTCAACATATGGTTTATCAGTGTATAATATTATGCATAAATGTAGCACTAACAGTGTAGAACTGCTGTCTGATTTTAGGGTTGCCAGGTGTTTCAAGAAAGAAAAGATGAACAAGAACAAAAACCAACAGGGAACATTTTACACGCAAGACCTCTCAAACAGCAGCCGAAGTGCAAAGTCTGGCAGCAATTTTAATGGAACAGACAAAAAGAAAGCGCAGTATGTGAAAAACAAAGCGAGTGGTAAATCGAAAGAGAAAACACCGATGGCGTCGAAGAAGAATGTGAAGAAACACAAGAGCTCTCTCATTTGATTGAGTTGGTTTTGATGATTTTCCGTAAATGAAATATATTTCTTTAGGCTGTCTATTTAGCCAAAACGTCAAATCCTGACCACAAATTTTGAAATGTATCAAGAAACGTGACATTAGTCTTCAAAGGAAAAAAAATTTGACGGTAAACATAGCGGGTTTTTTGGCTTAAGTCATAAGTTTAAATTGTTTTTTGTTAACGCTCTATTGTCATCTTTTCATAATTAAACACAATTTTGAACTGTATCAAGAAAGGTGGCATTAGTCTTCAAACGAAAGAAAAATTGACGGTAAACATAGCGGGTTTTTTGGCGTAAGTCATAAGTTTAAATTGTTTTGTGTCAACGCTCTATTGTCATTCATTCATGATTAAATCATTCCTTTTTTTTCAGGTATGTTCAATGTGATTTTGTTTATTTTGCTGTTGCTGATTCTCTTATTTCCCAGAGTGAGAAGATTCGTCTACCGGAGGAAGGGCCACTTGAGGGTTGCATTTCTACACCCCTACTGCAATGCGGGGGGAGGGGGAGAGAGGGTTTTATGGGTGTGGGTCAGATATATCCAGGAGAGGATGGCCAGTGGCTCTTCCGACGGTCATGGTCAGAAGTGGTCCATAGTCGTGTACACAGGGGATGAGTTGCCAGATACAGAAAAGGAGTTGGCGCGCAATGTGAAAAACAGATTCAATTTGGACATCGATGCAAGTCGCTTTTCGATTGTGTCTTTACGAAGCAGATGGCTAGTTGAGGCTTCTACGTGGCCGCGATTCACCCTCTTAGGTCAAAGCTTGGGCTCTGTTTTGATGGCTGGGGAAGCTTTGTTCAAACACTCCCCTGACTTATTGATAGACTCAATGGGCTATTCATTCGCAGTGGCCACTTTCAAGTTATTGGTCGGGTGTAGAACATGCAGTTATGTCCATTACCCGACCATAAGTGTGGACATGATCCAACTCGTCCATAGCGGCAAAAGTGCCCATAATAACGCGCAAGTCATCAATTCATATCCGATTTTGAAGAGAGCTAAACTGATTTATTACAAGTTGTTCGCGAAGTTATATGGAATCATGGGGCGTAGATCAGACATAGTGTTCACTAATTCGTCATGGACAAATAATCATATCAAGGAGCTGTGGAATATTCCTGACCGGACTTTCGTGGTGTATCCGCCTTGCGATTTGAACAATTTCTTCTCTCTCAAGCTAGAAAGAGCAGTGCCGCCTTACTACATAGTGTCTGTTGCCCAGTTCAGACCGGAGAAAGATCATGCTCTGCAGATTAGAGCTCTGAAAGTTCTGCTGGAGAAGTTGTCGGCTACTCACCCACACTTTCCGCTAGGTCAGATTGAAAATTTAGCTTTTTCCATTATAATCCCTTCAAACAAGTTTTAGCCTATTCATAATAATAATAAATTTTTGCGTATGATGCACTAAGTTTTTTTTTAATTGAATTATACTCGCGATTTAAGATTTTTCAGTCATTAACTGGTTTCTGTAATGCAATGAATTGTTTCAGTTGTATGCAGGGGCGGATCTAGGATTTTCTCGAGGGGGGGGGGGCGGATTTTCAAAAAATTTTCGAAAATTTTGACGACTTTTTTTTTTTTTTTAGGTCGATCAGATTGATTTTCCGAGCTCTCCCAAAGCAGTAAAAAGACCCTGTTTTGGACAAATTTTCTGCGCCGCAGGCAATTTTTTGAAAAAACAGGTCAAAAAAGCCGTTTTTGGGCACTTTTTGGAAAATTTTGACAAAAAAATCGCGTTTTTTTGGCGCGCGCTCCCCCTCAAAATAAGTATGCATTGGCGCCTTTAGAAAAATTTTAGGGTCGGTCGGCCAAAAATGGATTTCTTAAAAAGTACCAAAGGGGGACCCTTTGGGTTGGCAGGGGGTCGAATCCCTGAGGGGGGGGGGGCGTCCGCCCCCCCTAAATTTCCCCCTGGTTGTATGTATTAATTAAGTTTTCTTTTTAATTGGCGGTGTATCGACTAGCATAAAAGTTTTAAGAAAATCGTATCAACTAGCATAAAAAACAAAACATTTAGCATAAAAAACAAAAAATCGGATCTCTTTAACTATTCCCCCCTAGGGTACCTAGTAACGCAATGCCACCCCTATAAAGAAATAATTCAATGGTTAAGCGTATGTAAATTTGTACGTGGTATCAAATCCCCCTTTGTAAAAGGGGGGATAGTTAAAGATATCCGTCAGTTTTTGTCAAATTTTTAAAATCATCATACTTAGGTGCGAGAATTTAGGGGTGGAGGCGGACTTTGAAATTTTTCTAAGAGCGCCTTTGGCGCCAATATGTATTTTAATTTTGAGCGGGAACGCGCTATAAAAAAAGAGCCCATTTTTTGGCCTGTTCTTTCAAAAATTTGTCTGATGCGAAGAAATTTTGGTCAAAATAGGGTCTTTATAATGATATTCGAGAGCTCGGAAAATTAAATTCAAGGCCTAAAAATGTCAACAAAGTATTTGAAAATCACCCCCCCCCCCCCCTTTCCCATTCGAGAAAATCTTAGATTTCCTTACCCCATCCCTGATATACACACAAAAAAACGTAAATCACAGTTGTTTTTGCGCCTTTCGCAATTTGTGCAGCACTCAGAGCTCGGTTCAAGCCATTACAGGTTGGGGTGTGACTGATCAAAACTTCTTAAATTTAAGAAATTTCATTTGCTTGTTGGGTGCATAATTTGTCCAGTTTTATTAACTAATACGTTTTCAATTTCTCAGAAATGCAAGTTTCAATATGAAAGGATTGTTATTGTATTTCTGAGAAATAAAGCTATCAAAACTATGCTATTTTAGGATACAATTTCAGGTTTTCAAATTTTTATGCTAGTCGAGCTCTATTTAGTTCAAGGTAACGAACGTAGTGAAGACTCTTATATAGGTCTTGCTGATTTTTTTAACGGAAAAGTCTTTAATAACTCCAGATGTGCATTCATACATATTGATGCATTTATGAATGCACTTAGGTGTTTATGCAATTTTTGAGTTCATTGAAAATCATCTGCTGAAAGTGACGTAAATAGCACTCTCTAAATACGAACGTGGAAATGGTGCAAAAAAACGTGAACGATTTCTAGTTTCGAAAGTGGAATTTAATTTTAAAGATTTCCTAGCGGAATAAAAACTTTACCTTTTGATCCAGTTTTCTCAAATTGGGTTCATATTATCAAAAAAGCGCCGATCATAAATTGTTTCAGAAATTCAAAGAGCTTAAAGGGCATCTATTTTTTCTTTGAAATTGGAAAGTTGAGATTTTTTCAAAAAAAAGTCAGAATTTTTTAATGTTTACTTGCATTCGTTACTCTTTTCCAATCTTCGATCGGCTATGTTTTAATACTTGCAAGTTTTAATGTTGCAGATGAGATCCAATTAGACATTGTGGGATCTGTGAGACACGAAGCGGACGAGCGACTGTTGGAGGGACTGAGACATCTGGCGAGGGAGTTGCAAGTGGAAACACACGTGCAGTTCTCGAAGAATGTGTCATTTAGTGAACTGTTAGACAGACTGCAGAGGAGTGTGGTTGGTCTGCACACCATGTGGAACGAGCACTTCGGAATAGGTCTGTCAGTGGGAGCGCATTTTCCTTTTCACTCCTTATTGTTCGTCCGACCACATATTCATTTATTTATTTATTCTTAATTTATATTCCAGCAGGTATTTTAAAATTCAATCACATTGTACAAATTCATATAACTAAATCAATTGAGTCCAATGATTACAGCCTACCAGGAGCATCAACAAGCCAACGGCCCTGATTTTATCACGAAGTGAAGGGAATCAACAATGGCGTATGGTGTTTCCTGAAAGGGGCATATAACTTATTTAGTTTCCTGAAAGGGGCTCAAGAAGCATGTAGGGCATAAAATGTGGTTATCATATGAGACTCTCTGCATTTTTCAATTTCTAAGTTTAAACATTTTTTGAAAAATAATGATTATAGAAGGCGAAGATTCAGTTCGGATTTTTCAATTGCCCAATTTAGGTTTGCGCTTCTGAGATCAAATGAAGCTTCAAAACCCTACTTTGTGAAGTAGTCGGAACACTTTTTGCTCAAAATCGGGGACCTAACATTTCTGTCGTTGCTTTTTTTCTACATGTTCCTTTCATAACATGGAATCGTTGTAATCGGAACAGTCTTATGCCTATTTATACAATTATCTCTGCTTTGTCTGCCTTGACGCATTAACTCTATTCCAACCCTACTACACAAATAAAAAACGATGGAGTATATGCGGACGGAAATAGTCAAATCAACGCTTGACTGCCCAGCATAATTATGCACTTTTGAGAGCGGCGAACTGTGTCAAAATAGAATGGACTGTTCTGAATAGAAAAAAAATATCAATGTGAGACATAGTATGCGCTTTTACATGCTATATCGTATTTATTATATTTTATTTGTAGATGGATGTGTGTGAGTGGCTTGTTCAGTTCAGACATGAAAATCGATAAGATCTACCATTAATCTTGTACCAATTAGTTTTGACCTAACCATATGTTTAAGGAATTGAACGATTGCTCAGAGTATTTGTGTTTTTGTCAGGCGTGGTTGAAATGATGGCAAGTGGTTGCATAGTCATCGCCCACAACAGCGGAGGTCCAAAACTAGACATTGTGACCCCTGAGCCTCCTTTCACGACCGGATTTCTAGCTGACTCGCCTGAAACTTACGCAGAAGCAATGCTCACATGTTTGACTATGAGTGAAGAGCAGAGACAGGAGATAGGAGTGAGAGCGAGGAGCTCCATCGCTAGGTTCTCCGAGAGTGCCTTCGAGAACTCTATTTTGGACAGCTGTGAACAACTGAGGTTATTCAAGAGCTAGCGAAGCGCAACGTAATTTGTCGTTTGGGACTGATTCGTGTATCAAAGAATTTGTGTATATTTTTATATGTCAATTATCGTTTCTTGATCTTTTTGTTAGTTCATTAGTATTAATTTATTGGTTGAAGCTGATGTGCATATTATTTTGTATTCAGACACTGCAACGTATATCGTATTTGATTTATCCGTCATGTTACGTTGGATCATCAGAGTTTCACTTATCTTTTGCAGAGGGTTTGCTGCTTTTCAGAGTTTATATGAATGGTTACATAACACTTAGTTCAGCTATTCAGTTCAAAAAATTGGTTTTGAAGAAACGAAACAACAACCTTCTGGACTCCTCTTTGAAATCATCAAACAATAGCAGTAATCCACCATTCGGCGTTCCCTCTTAATAGTTTTTGGGGAGCAGTTTTGCCCTCCGACGACCAAAATAGGGTCGAAGAAAAGCATCATGGTTGCCAAGCGTCTCCCGGGAACCATCAGGCGGAAACTTCGCGAGAGCTCAGGCATGGGCATTGGCAAACCGAGTGTGTCGCACGCACTTGTCGTCATTTTCCTCGAGTTCTTCGCTTGGGGTCTCCTGACCTCGCCTATGCTCGCACTCACCATCGAAACTTTTCCACAACACTCTTTTCTAATGAACGGAATAGTACTGGGAATTAAAGGAATGCTGTCTTTCCTGTCGGCTCCCCTCCTCGGGGCCCTCTCCGACAACTGGGGCCGAAAATCTTTTCTCCTCATCAGTGTATTTTTTACGTGCATGCCAATTCCCCTAATGATGTTAAGTTCTATGTGGTTTTTTACAGTTTTTGCCATGTCAGGTATATTTGCAGTGACTTTCTCAGTAGTTCTCGCGTATGTCGCAGACGTCACTGCGCCTGAAGAGCGAAGTTTAGCCTATGGCATGGTGGCTGCCACGTTTGCTGCAAGCATCATTTTCAGTCCCGCAATCGGCGATCGTTTAGCGGAAGAGTACAATGACATGCTAGTTGTCGCGCTGGCCACTGCAATTTCAGCTCTAGATCTCTTTTTCATCTTAGTTGCGGTGCCAGAATCCTTGCCGGAGAAAATCCGAAACGTCTCCTGGGGAAAACCAATATCGTGGGACACGGCAGATCCCTTCGCTGCTCTCCGAAAAATCGGACAAGATCAGGTGGTGATGTTAGTGTGTGGGACTGTGTTTTTGTCCTACATTCCTGAAGCGGGACAATTTTCTTCTCTGTTTTTGTATCTCAAGCAAGTTATACGCTTCTCAAGAGGAGAAGTTATCGTGTTCATTGCTGTCGTTGGAATCCTGTCCGTATTTGCACAAAGTCTCTTCTTGAGCTTCTTAGTGAAGTTCATAGGCAACAAGAAAACAATTCTTTGTGGCCTGGTGTTTCAACTGATGCAACTGTCATGGTTTGCGGTGTCAAGAGAGCGCTGGATGATCTGGTGTGCTGGTTGTCTGGCTGCAATGTCCAGTATAGTCTACCCAGCAATATCTGGACTGGTGTCCACTAATGCGGAGCCAGACCAACAGGGTGTAGTGCAAGGCATAGTGGCTGGAGTAAGAGGTCTGTGCAGTGGGCTGGGACCAGCACTCTTCGGATTCAGTTTCTACCTCTTTGACATCCAGTTGAAGTTTGAGGAGCCGGTCGATGGCATGAATGGGTCGGCTAAAGGAGCAGCTCATGGTCAGTTGAACGGACCACCAGCCGCTGGTAGTTCTCAAGAGCTGACCCAAGTGGCGTCGGCAGACAATGATTACATACCAGGTCCTGCTTTTGCAATAGGGGCCATCTTGGTCGTTTTCAGTCTCTTCTCAGCCACGCTAATTCCAGAGAACTTTTCAAAGTCAAGTAAGAGCAGCCAATCTCCAATTGTGATACCAAAAACCAAATGTGGATTAAGGAGAAATGGAAAGTCGAGTCCCTCTCTCTCGGACGCTGAGGACGAGGAGGAGACAGAAGGGTTCCTCATATCGACCAAAAGTGTGAACAGCTCCTCTTCTTCAGGAGTATCGAATGAGTCATCAGTGCCGTTAATAAAACCGTCCTCAGATAACCAAAAGGAGGACCTAATACACAATGCATGAGATCCTCCTCCTGATTTGAATAAATGTTTTATTGCCACTGCAGTCACCTCACTTGTGATGTTCACTAGTGAGCGGTGCGTCATACCCTACAAATATACACGCAAGCTCCTCGATAATACTCCTTTCTACAGATTCGAAATCTGATCCAATTCAAAACTTGACGTTGTTTTGAGCCCAACTGTTTTAAAAGTAGACTTGAATTGAATTATTTACTATCAGTAGCTGACTTAATTTTAAATTGGTGCTTTCCTTTTCTTTTTGGTGTAAGTATGAAAACGGTTTACTTTTGCTTTGTTAACAGAAGTGGTTTAAATTTATTTCGTTTTTCATGTTTTAACAACCACAGATCAGAACGAGAAGTGTGGACGGTATCAGATTAGATCATCAAGTTTTCGCTACTATCCAAAACGATCGCTATAGTTATTAGCAAGCGCTAGACAGATGGGTAGCTCACTGCGCAAACGCAAGCAAGAAAGGGCAAAAGGGGTCAAAAAGTGAAAACAAGAAAAAAGAGGTTGAACTAATCAAAGTACTGAGGAATTGAACACCAACCTTGAGAAAAAAATACACTTCCTAGTATTTGCGCCTTAGGGGCCCAGCTGGAGCTAGAGTTACCTGATTGATAATATTTTGAACAAATCTACTGATGCGAAAGGTAATACGTAATTTTCTAAATGTGAATAATCAGACATTTGCTATGGCCTATTCCTCACAAAAATTCGCTGTATGCAGGGGATACCCTTACAACGCGTTCTTTTGACAAAACCCTTAATTATACTAGGGAGCTTGCGAAACGTACGGTATTAGTACGAACCTTTTTTCTAAGCAAACTCGCAAATAAAAGTGTTCACTTATTTGGTAGTACTTCTGCTATAATCACGATCTGTAGCATTGGAAATTTCATAGCATCTTTTCTCTGCTTTGTTTGTGGCTTGTGTTTGTTTTTCATTAAGCGGCCGTGGCTGAGTGCTTTGTGAGTGAGACTCATAATATCTTGGTCGCAGATCGAATACGAGACGTGGCTGAACTTCTACTAATTCGAGGGTTAATTCTAGAGCTGGTTTTTGTCGTGTTCTTGCCAGTGTTTGCGAAGCGAAGCTTCGCTACTGTGTCTCAGATTTGGCACCGTAGTTTTCTAGAAAATTAAAGAAATTCCAAAAACTAACAAAATTTCACAAAATGACTTACTACTATCTAACATTGCTGTTCAACAAAAAATCGGAGCGTAGCTGCTTACGCTGAGAAAATTACTAGTACTTATTTTTCCGATTAAACATGTAATCTTCAATTTGTCATGGTAGTTTTTGAGACAAGTCAAAAATCTTCAAAGGGGCGAGATTATCGGAATATACAGGAACACCGAGAAGTACCTAGTCTCGTTTTTGCTACCACGTTTTTGAAAATTGAAAGAGATGATCTCGAGACAAGTTAAAAGTTAAGATAAATCTGCAAAAATTCTCAGAGATTCTCAAAATTCAAATACCTAATAATGAAAAAAATTCAAATACCTAATAATGAAAAAAACCAAACCTCATATATTTTCATAATATCTTTTTTTGCAAACGTAAACACATTTTGAACATGTTTGCATTTAAAATATCCAATCTGGTCACTCTAGCGATCTTCGGTGAGCGTTGTGTAATATTACGACTTGAAATTTTTTCTAACCTAATTGCAAATATTGCTGCCACTCGGGGCACCTTTACAGCTTTTTGATAGCATGTGCTTCGACATCTGATTAAAAATAAGTTAACATAAGTTGATGCATTTCTCATTGTTTAAATGTATCGAAAAAAGCTAATTGCTTCAAATATCAGTACCAAAAAACTCGATTTCAGAATTTTTGCAACTCAATATATTTCGCAATAGTTTTGATAAGCTTAATTTATACATATTTTGGTTTTATGCTTTCGATTTTATTAGATGCATTGTATTTGGTGTAACTTCTGCTGCATGGCATTGGCAATTTTTAAGCACATATAGCTGCTTTATTCGTCGTTAGTATTTGTCGGTTGTGAAGCGTTCATGGCTGAGCGGGTAGGGCGAAAGACTCCAAATCTCGAGGTCGCAGTTCTGAATCCGATACGGAGTAAAGTTTTACTAATTGGAGGCTTATTTCTATTTTTTCGTATATCACTTATAACGCTGCTTTTTTGTCGCATTCCTCTATTGTCCGAAGCACAGCTTCGCCTCTGTGTCGAAAATTGTTGTTCCATTTTTGTAGATTTTACAAAGGCAACGCGAAGCTTTGCACCACTTGCAAAAGGACACCAACCCAGCATGACAAGTCAGCTGATTGAAAATGAAAAGAAAATAAAGAAAGAAAATTTTCAAACATCGCAATTTATCGAGCGGAAACTGAACCGACAAAAATTGGGTGAACTCCCGTTGAGCTTACAGCAAACTTGTCAAAAAAAATGATTTTTTCCCTCAAAACGACACGGCGCAAAGTCAGTATTCACTAAACCGATAAAACATAAACAAAAAATTGATACCAAAAAAGCTTCTAAGCAAAACAAACGAAGAGAAATTACACGAAAATCAATTCTATTCATTTTACAAATTACAAGAATTAATGATAAGCATTTTCAGTTATATTTAAAGTTGCTAACAAAGTTTTAAAAATTCAGTGTCGTGCCAACAGTAGACCGACCGATTTTTCTTGAAATGGGAAGTTTCCTACTGCTTTACCAGGTGTAACCATTACCTTTAAGACTAAATGCGCTGGAGAAATTAGAGAAATTGAGTTTTTTATTAACCAAACTATCCGACAATTATAAAAATTTAACTGATTGTTGTCAATTTTTTATTTGCCTTATGGTGTGATTTGACTGAAAAAAGTTTTGCTTTACATAACGATGGCCTACTTGATTCATTTTATGTCCTCTGATTGTATATGTAAGTTGGAAAAAATTTGACTGAAAAATGAGTTTGTCAAACATATTTCTGGGAACTGCATTTTTCCCTGGCAGCATAAATTATAGCTAGTAATTGACTGTTTGTCATATCGTAAAGGGCGATTTGCAAAAAATTTTTCATAAATTTTAATTTATTGGTTTTAATTACCTCAACAAATTTTTTCACTTTTGTTGTGGTGCAATCGTGATAGTTACATTTTTATATCATTAATTTTCATTTTCTATGTCCAATGTCGTATTATTGTAAAAAAGAACGCCGAAATTCTGTACAAGTAGCCAATTTATTTAAAACAAGTTATGCAAAAAAAGTGAGTCGAGCAAAAAAAAATGTTTTCTAGAAATTTACTTAGAGAAAATTTCATAGTCTTACATAGTCATTTTTCAATGGAATGCAAAATAACAAACAGGTGGACGTCTGGCATTAACTGCGATGCAACACAAAATAGCGCTGAAACATGCCAAAAGAAGAGACGAAAGCCACGTAGTAGAGAAAAAAATTGTTCTTGTCTTCAATTTTAATTGAAACAAATTTTATCAAGCAATAATTAGGCAGACAATTCTTGGTTAGACAACCGTGCAGTCGAAAAAAAAAATTTCAAAAACTTCATTGGGCCATAAAAAATCTTTAAAAAAACATAAATTGAAGTTTTGAAAAATACAGGAATGAGTCACAGTTAATCAAAATTGAAGTAAGAACTACTCAAAATAACCAATGCTTTGGAAAGTAAGCCAATCAAGAATAAGCGACTAACGATCCAAAAAATCAATTTTCAAAAAAGTTCGCCACTTCACTAGCCTTGTCAGCTCAAGCATGGACAAAATCTTTTTTTTAGGTCCATACTTGAGCTGAGAAATTTGAAGTACGATAATTTAAGTCTCACCTACGTGATATGTTATTTCGGATAATGAAGCCTAGTACCCGATATCGTAAAGGTCAAAATCACTTTCGCTAAAAAGAATGCAAAATGCTATTTGAAAGTTATATGATTTCACAATGTGCTACCTTTTCACAAGTTTTCAATAGGTTTCACATTGTTATGAAGCACGTAGCATGTTATGTACGTATTCTGTCGAAATTGTTCACTGAATATAAAACTCTAGTAACCCAATTACTATTTACACCGAAGACTTTAGTCAAGGTGTTATGGTATCGCGTAACGGGTTTTTTTTTTAATGTTGTCTGTTGTCAAGTGTCGACAAATAATGTCCACAGTTATCAATTATCATGTGGGCTGGACTATATCGCGCTATGTCACGTGATTGCGTATGTTTGTTTCTTTATTTGTTCATCTTTATTTATTTAACTATCTGTTCTTCTATTTATTTAATTATGTTTAGTTTGCTTATATTTATTTATAATTTATGTATGTACATATTTATTTTTGTTTATTTTTATCACGTGTTTTGTTTATTTATTTAATTATTCTTTCTTTCATTTAGTTTTGCTTTTATTATTTCTGCGTGTGTATTTATTTAATTTATTTATTTTCATTTATTTATATTATGGGTCTGTTTGTTTGGTTATTTGTTCATACATATTTTTTCATGTCTATTTAATTATTTGTACATTTCACTTTTGCTTTTATTTATTTATTTATTTATTTATGTATTTATTTATGTATTTATTTATTTATTTATGTATTGATTTATTTTTTTATTGCTTATTTATTTATCAGGTGTGTTTTGTTTATTTGTTGATATTTATTTCTATATTTATTTAATTATTCTTTCTTTCATTTAGTTTTGCTTTTATTATTTATGTATGTGTATTTATTTCATTTATTTATTTTCATTTATTCATATTATGGGTCTGTTTGTTTGGTTATTTGTTCATATATATTTTTTCATGTCTATTTAATTATTTGTACATTTCACTTTTGCTTTTATTTATTTATATATTTATTTATTTATGTATTCATTTATGTATTTAATTATTTATTTATGTATTGATTTATTTTTTTATTGCTTATTTATTTATCAGGTGTGTTTTGTTTATTTGTTGATATTTATTTCTATATTTATTTAATTATTCTTTCTTTCATTTAGTTTTGCTTTTATTATTTATGTATGTGTATTTATTTAATTCATTTACTTTCATTTATTTATATTATGGGTCTGTTTGTTTGGTTATTTGTTCATGAGATATATATTTTTTCATGTTAATTTAATTATTTGTACATTTCAGTTTTGCGTTTATTTATTTATTTATTTATTTATTTATTTATTTATGTATGTATTTATTTATGTATTGATTTTTTTTTTATTTATTTATCAGGTGTTTTGTTTATTCGTTGATATTTATTGCTATATTTATTTAATTATTTTCTTTCATTTAGTTTTGCTTTTATTTATTATTCATGTATAAAATAATAAATTTGGTATGTTAGAACTGTTATTCTTCAATTATTAGTTGTTCAAGTTGTTTGGTTTTTGCTTCAGTTTCTATGCCTTCGGTGTATTGCGCGTAGCGCCTATGTTATAGAAAATGAATTGCGCTAGAAAATTAGGAAAAATGCTATCTAAAAAGTGAACTGTTTCAAATATTGGCGACAATTAGGGTTTGGACATTTCTCAATCTGCGGTGTACAATTTCAGTTTTTTATTTTCATGACCAAATATGAGGTCAGAAAATGGACAGGCAAAAGTTTTAGTGCTTCAGGAAGCCAATATTGCTTTAATAAGCTCTCCAAGGCGAATTCAGGCACAACAAAAACATCGATCTGTGTCTAAAAAACAGCATACTTGAAACAATAAAAAAAATTAATTGTGATTAAATGTGAAGTTCAATTCGAATACAGTTGAAGTTCTTGAAAAACTCAATCAAATTAATAGACAACTGCTTTTACAGTACACTTTATCAGTATATCAAGTTATATCAGTATTCATGGTACTGAAATATTCTATCAGAAAAGTTCAATTCCCGGTCTATTATGTTTCTGTTTAGTTTTTTCCCGCTTTGTTCGCACAGTGTAATTGATTTTAAGATTCAAGTTGTTCTTACTAAATTCGAGCATGAAGCACTGGAGGTGCGAGTTGCATGCTAGTTTTGTATATTTTTATCTTAAATTTTTTAGCATGAAAATTAAATTTTGTGTCATTCAGAGGGTGATCAAAAATTTAAGCTGAGACGATGCAAAACTCCTACAATTTTGATTGATGTTTAGTTTCAACACTTTTTAGTTATCTGGCTTCAGGTTCGAAATTGACATATTCAAAGCTTTTAGTTGATAGTTTTCAAGAAAAAAATTTTATTTTCTGCTCAACAGGCATCTAGTTGCATAGTCGGCGTCTTAGTGCCAAATAAATTTTGCCTGAATGCTCATTCAATGCAAGTTACTGTGTTTCAAGACAATTTGATCGAATTGAAATTTATTTGTCGAGTCTCGTACAATTATTGAGGTACTTTTCATATATTTTTGGTAATTTTCTGTCGTCTAATTTGCCATTCAATATTTCTTAAGCTTCCAAATGATTCGAAGCTCTGCTTCAACCTGGTTTTGAAGTTCAAAAATTTTAAAATATTGAAAAAATATTGGTAGTTTTCCAGTTCATTAACAGTTTTACAATTATGTTGTCTTTAATTTAAATAATTTGAACTTTCAATACTCATTTTGCACAATTTCAAACCAATTGCGTAATCTTTTCAACGCAAAATGAAGAACAGAAATAATCAGTTAACGTTTCAAAAATGTGACTGTGTTAGGCATTTTCAGTAATTCTAAAAAATAAAGGCTTCATGATTTTTCTTATCTCCGCCTACACTAAAGTATGATTCTCAAAGTTGCTCTCAAATATTTCAACTCTCCACTTCTTGATGCAAACTTTTTATAGAGCCTTTAGTTGAGCTCAGATGTTCGGCAGTCTGTACTGCGTAACAGAAACAGTATTCCGAAAACAAATTGCACAGAAAACTATTCATGCTATTTGAAAAATCTCCAAAAACTCAACTTGAAGTAATTTAACGTCGAAGTATTTAGATTAGAGAAGATTTGCGACGTTTTAAGCACCTGCAATTTTGTTTTTCACAAAATTTTGAAATTTTATCATGACGCACACCTAAGCGAAACATGAGCAGTATTAGCCGTGCTTTAAATGATAATACCAGAATAGTTATCAAAGATACATTCTGTCAAACTATAATGATCGAAAAAGCTCGTAACATATTTCCAGCTCGTATACGTATTTTTAGGTGTGCTTCATATGCAAATCTGTGTATCAAATGCACGATTATCTGACTTTATCAAAACTCAAAAGTTATTAAATAGAACGAGTATCAATTTTGGTAACACAAATCAGTTTCGGTCACACTAGTTTCTAGACTATTCTAACTGTTTGTCATAAGAAGAACTGTTTAGATAAAATTTACAGACGCAAAAAAAAACTTTTTTTCCTTGTGATAGCTTTCACAAGTAGCATGTTTTATTGTATTCAAAACAAAAAATAATAAACTACGCTAAAAGATGCAATTGAGTGGTTACACGATCTACAAATTTCAGCTAGTAAAAGGAAATCGTGAAAAAGAACCTTATCTAGTCATTATTTTCAGCATAAAAATCATCTTTTCACGAAAAACATGTTTAACCTACAGACTTCAGCAATCTCAATCCACGCATCCACTCGGATACTGTTGAACCCGTGGAACCTCCGGAAGCACAAAAAACAGAACCTTTTATTCCTCAATATTTACACCAAATATCAAAAACAAAAAGTCAAGAGAAAAATATTGCACAATGAAGACTTTATTTCTAAAAGTTCTGCTGTAATTTATCTCAGTACAGTAATCAGCATTTTTTATTACAAAAAAGCAATTTATCGCTTTGGTACAAGTTGATAAGCTAGAAAAACAACGTTTGGCGGAAAGTATAATCTTTGTCCACAGCAAAGAAGAAAGCGAAAGTTTCATATGCTTCAAAAATCTAAAAAGCACTATTTTGCCAACTTAAAAATACAAAAATTTTTAACCCCGTTAACAAGCTGGTTGCAATTTAGATATTTAACCAGCTTTATTTCATCAATTTTTTACCGTATTCCGATTGCTTAATAAAAAATTTTACTTTTATTTGACAAACTACAAATCTTTCGGTTGAAGCAAAATAAAATCGGTTCTAGAAACCGAAACTAACTATTAACGTTAAATTTAAGTTTCGATATTTGCATTTATTACAGAAAACGAGATTGAGAAATCCTTCGATAAAAAATTTCAATACCACAAACAATAAAAAAGCCAGTTTAACGGAAAAAAGTTAAGTAATCGGATTAGAGTTAGGTAAAAATAAATAAAAAACCAGAAAAAAAATCAATTTAGAAAAAAATATGTCAACGAACATATTATAGTACAAGTATAAAAGCGTATATTATATACTGTATTTTCCTGGTTTGAGTTCAGATCATTAATGTAATGTATGAGAAGCAAAAGACCAAAAATCGATCCTTGAGGAACACTAAAAAGAACTTCTCTCAGTTTTGAATTTGCAAGTTCAGTCGCTCTAAACTGCTTTCTATGCTTCGATTAAGATATAAGTAACACATCAATTAAACCACTTACTTAGTCTATAGGACTCTTCATATATTTTTAACGTGTGTAAGTGCTCTAATGTGTCCAATGCTTTTTTTAACCTATGTTTATGTATTATTTAAGCTGTTCCTCGGCATGACCAAAAACCAAACTGACTTATGTTGAATAAGTTAAATTTAATAAAATGAAATGCTTCTGTATACAAATCTTTCAGGAAGCTAACCAATCACTGGCAATAAGGATATTGGTCGAAATATTCAGAGATATGCCTGCTTACTCTCTTTCTAAACTAGGATCAGTTTGGTCAAATGAAAGCTATCTGAAAAAATGGAATTAACAAAGAAATCTTGATATAACTTTGTTAAAACTGCTGCAATAGCTCATTTACCTTTTTACAAAAATTAGTTATTCAGACTATAAAATTCGATGTTGAATTTTTTTGATAGATTCTAAAATTTTGAAACTTTCCATCGACCAACAGATACATTGAATTGTCTTGGCCAGTTCTTTGCCAATTTTGGAAACAAATTCAGTAAAACAGTCCAAATTTGCCCCTTTATTTTGTTAAGTTTTTTTTAAAAATCATTGTCTTAGCTGATTTTTCTACTTTTGTATAGTAGTAAATTTTAAAATATTCACAGGCTTACACTATTAATTATACGTTTTTCTGTCTTTAGAATCGCCACGACGATTATAAATTAGCTTCGGACATTGCGCTGAGCCAATTTTCTCAGCGGCAGCGGCTTTATCTCGGTTATTCATCTGAGTTCACGTATTTAGGTCTGGGCTGTTTTTGATAAATTGGAACATAATGATTGAGATTCTCTGCAAAATTTCTTGCAGCTCTTTAAAAGTGTCCGAATTTTTTAAATCAAAAATCTGCGTTTTTTTATTTGATCAGGATTAGCATCGTTAACTCGACATTTAATTTTCGATTTTTGAAGTTCAGCCACTGGATGCTAGTAGCTCTCTGTTTTCGTACTAATTTACACCACCGTTTTGAGTTTAACTGCGCGATGATCATTCAAAGACACTTTTAGAATTTCCACTTTGCGTCATGGCTGCTGCAAAAAATCTAAGCAACTTTTTGATTTGTTGATTTCTCTCGTGGGTTAGTCACAGTTCAGCAGAAACAAACTATTTCACGACAGAATCCTTGTCAATTCAACTTTTTTTCTGTAAATCGAAAAATATTAATATTAAAATCACCACATACTCTGTTTTCTTTCTGGTGTCAACATAAGAAAATACGGATAAATCTGGAACTCTCTCGAAAGATTTTTCTTGAAGCCAGAAAACACATCAAGGTCGACCGACCGACTGTTTTCAGCGAAAGAAATCTCAGCATACAACAGAAAAATTAAAATATAGCATGGCACTCTTCCCTCCCACCTCCCCGCATTGACGCAATGCAGTTGAGAAATTTGCAAAGATTACAGACAAAAATGAATTCATTTCAAGTTGCACTAAATATTAACATTGAGATTTACTTTACCAAAACTATTCAGAAATAATTTACTAGTGTTCAGAATCATCCAAAACATCCATTGAATGATGATTGTTAACATGATTCAACTCCATCTTCACATATTTACAACAATATTTCTTGTTCTGGGCACAATTTCGTTTTCCGAATAAATACATATTTACAGAGTATTCATTAAACTAGCATTATGAGTGTGATATGAAAATGGAAGCACAAAGATAGTAAGACAGATTGAACTTGAATTTTATTTTACGAATGATATGAACTTTAAGTGGCACTAACTTGGCCTGTTTAAATAGAATATGTTGTTTCGCAAAAACAATCTTCCAGCACTAAAGAAAACAAATTACAAAAATTCTACAGTACGAATTGAAATTTGAATGCGTATCATTTATTCGCATGCTATCTAATATTAATTCGCATTTTAATGCACCGTTAAGGTAACTCCGTTTTGAATAGCATAAAGTCCAAATTTCTCAAAGTTTGAAGATAGAATTCTTTAATTGTTCAGCAGCATTGTTAACAAACAGCACATCATTTCATTCATTGCACCTATGCACGCCACTATTACGTCTCTGTTGTTCACGCATAAGGTGCAGAATACACACTGTCCGCTGGGTGGTCTGCAGCAGGAGGCGGAGGGGGAGGGGGAGAAGTGAAGAGGCTCCCGTCTATCCCCAGATCCAGGAGAGTCCTGGCTGCACTGTTCAACTCGCTCTCCAGCTCCGCCGGCTGCGAGAGAGAATTGAAGTAGAGGCCAGATCCCAAGTCCGGCATGTTGGGAGAATTTGCTCCGGGCGAAAGATCTAAAAAAAAGACGGATCAAAGCAACAATCTGATTTCATTCGGCTGAAGAAAAACAATTGCAAACATGCAAGCCCCCCTGTTATGAATTGGGTAAAGAAATCTTCCATGTTCTTCAACTACTGGCGACTGCCGCTTATCTATATTTACGAACTTTTGAACATTCAGTACTAACCAGGGTATTGAGATGAGGAGTGGGTTTGGAATGGGTTCACATAAGCTGTATTACCGGTCCCATTACCAACTGCAGAGTACTCATTAGTATCGTACGTCTAAAACAAATTATCCAGCTAAATATATTTGAAATCCTCTTTTTTATATACAAAATCTAAGTGTTACTTGCAATAGATCAAAAATATAGCCAGCTATGCCAAGAAAAATGAAATGAGAGCGACCAAACCGACCAATTAATTGGAAATTAAATGCTGACCAAAATCTTTTAACTTTCGCACTTTTGTCTCGAATGAAACTCATTTGGGGAAAACAATCTAAGCATTAAATAAGCAATGAAAGAAAAGTATGTAACTTTCTGATGCGACCAGAAGATCACTTCAATTATGCTCAAGATTAATCTGACTGATTTCATTTTATATTTCCAATCTTCGACACCATAAGGGAAACCAGCCGCTGATTACATTTCCATTTTCTCGTGAATAATTCATCGTTTTTATATGCTCTGATTGCTTCTCAGCATGGCATGGCGTGTCAGCATCAACACAATATTTCTCATTTTTCTTTTAGTCAAATGTCCTACTACTGGCTCAACGGATAATCTCCCGGAATCAATACTGAAACTTAAATTCAATTAAGTTTTTAACTAATTTTTTTTGAAAAATACGATAGTTAAGCGTGCGTTTCTGCAAAGGAAAATGGGTGACCTCTGAAATTCAATAGTTAGTAGGTTAGAGAAAGCTAATTATTTCAAATCGGGCCCCTATTTAGTGTTTTTTTTTTCAAACGTTCTATCAAAGAGAAATTTCAGTCAAATATTGATCCAGCCCGGTCCCTTTGTTGAAGACTTCGGTGAAATCTACATGGAGACCGTTCTAAATCTGTCTAAATACAAGTCACTTGCACGAACAGCTTAACGGCTAAGAATTATTGGGTTGACATCCCAAACAAATTAGGAAAAACCGATCCCACATGAATTTTACGTCACCCTGAAGAGGAAAGCTTTCTTTTACATGATTCGGGCCCGATCGACAAGGACCGTTATCTTTTATTTTGGAACGCGCGAGAACCTGGACGTATTAGAAACTAACACCGTATGGCAAACATGTGGAATATTTAAAGCCCTATGCGATTCATTTCATGCAGAAATGGACGTGTCCCCATTTATGAATTATATAGTCAATATTCTGAGTCAATTTGGGTTGGGACGATCCACTGAGGCCATAGAGGGTCCCGGCCAGTTTCCTCAATCTTTGAGAAACAGATTTGAAAAAGCAAAGAACGGCTGACAGAAGACTAATAATTCAGTAGAAGACTCACATAGAGCCTTTCAATTGGGAATGAGTTGCGCTCATTTGACTATCCATAATTTTATTCAATTCATGCAAAAAGAGCAGAGTATGACTGAACAGAATTTCTTGAATCTAAGCAGTACAGTGCTACCAAAAATGCCGTATATGAAAAAATCCAAACTCTATTGGTTGAACTTCTAAAAAACATATTAAAAAAACATTTCAAAGCAACTTGCGGGGATTATCGTACAAGTTGCAACTTTGATTTCTAGATCACGCGCTATGTATTGGTTTGTTGTTTCATTGCTAGAAATTGAATTGTTTCTGATCAACACTTTGTCGCTTCTCATATTATCGCTTGTTGCAAATAATCGCGCTCTCCTAATCGTCGCATCAAATACTACCGTTTTTCGCTTTCGACCAGTTGTCGCTTTCGACAAACTGTCGCCTTGCCACTCATGGGTTCCAAAACCTCTAAGCAAATTGAAATAATTTGAATATTTGCTTTGAATGTTTGCTAAATCTCCTAATTATTTGGAAATTCATATTGAAAAATTCAAATTGATGATTAAATGAAAAATTATAGCCAACTGAGTTGGGATAGAGTAATGAACGCAAGGAAACTGGAAAAAAGCGACCAAAGAAAAACAAGACTGCTCGTATCAGGGCGAAGCCCTGAATGTTCCGACTGCCTTTTAAGGTTAATGGAGCAGCAGTAATAACATTTAAAAAATTAAATGAAACAAGACTGCTCGTATCAGGGCGAGGCCCTGAATGTTCCGACTGCCTTTTAAGGTTTATGGAGCAGTAATAAAATTAAAAAATTTAATGAAATTTTAAAAAAAATGAAAAAAAAAAATTTTCTAAAATTATTTATGAAAACCATCCCCCCACACGCCATATACAGTACAAAGAATCTATTTCGCTCCTTGTAGCAAACCAATTATGACAAATAGGCTTCTTTCAACCAATTTGGAACGATTTCTAAGACGGATTAACTCTCCGCTTACGCGTTAAAAGCGCGAAATATATCGCGCGTTAATTGTCCCAAATTGGCCAAAATGGCAACCTTTAAACCCCCGTAACTTTACGAAAAATGATCACAGGTAAAATATCTTTTCAAATTTGAGCTCAGGACAACAATACCTTTCGAATGATATAAAAAAATTCCGTCAAAAATGGCTAGTTAAAAAGTCGAAATTTGTCTGAAGAAAAAAAAACCCACCCCGAGCACAAATATTCTGTTACTTTCGTACCGAAAGTCGGAACAATAAAAAAACGAAATTTTTTTTTTCTAAAATTTGAAATTTTTAATGAAAATCATCCCTCCACACGCCATATAAAGTACAAAAAGATAGATTTCGTTCCTTGTAACAAATCAATTATGACAAATAAGCTTCGCTCAACCAATTTGGAACGATTTATAAGACGGATTAAACCTCCGCTTACGCGTTAATAGCGCGAATTATATCGCCCGTTAATTGTCCCAAATTGGTCAAAATGACCAAAATGGCAATCTTTAAACCCTCATAACTTTACGAAAAATGATCACAGGTGAAATATCTTTTCAAATTTAAGCTCAGGACAACAATACCTTTTGAATGATATTTAAAAATTCCGTCAAAAATGGCTAGTTAAAAAGTCGAAATTTGTCTGAAGAAAAAAAAACCCACCCCGAGCACAAATATGCCGTTACTTTCGTATCGAAAGTCGGAACAAAAATAGATGGCTTCAAAGGTATTTGAAATTGAAGAACAATTTATGATGGACACTTTTTTGTTAAAATCAACTGAAGTTGAGAAAACGCGATCAATAGGTTTGTTTCGCTTGAAAATCTGATAATTAATTTCCATTTTCGAAATTAGAAGTCGATCACGTTTTCCGTGACCTTTAAAAATTTGCTGTTCAATAGTGGAATTTGCCTTCCTTTTAACAAAAGAAATGCACTGAAATTAACAAGAAATGACAAGTCAAACCGCGCAAAAATCAAAATTGAGCGTGAACAAATTTTAAGACTTTTTCCTGAAAAAAAATCAGCAAGACCTATATTAGAGTACTCACTACGTTCATTACTCTTAATTAACATTAAATGCCATTTTTAAAGCCCATCACTGCCATCCGCCTAGCGACAAAAATCTCCGCCCAAACGACAAACATCAAAATACAACATGAATGCAGACAAACTTACAGTTTCGCTCTGGTTTAAATAGTCCAAAGGTGAAGCCGGCCCTGGCTCCACAGGCGAAGTAGGTTGAGAGGGCTGCATATCCACTCCACCCAATCTGTTCATGGCCAGCTGTGCTAACTCATCATTAGCCTCAGCCTGTATTCCCTTATATGGACTTACATCCAAGTACATATTCGGCTGCGTGGCTGGAATGTCTCCCAGGTCCAGTAGTGCATCACTCGGTCTCGCAGAAGTTGAGGCTCCAGTTTTGCTGCGATTATTGCTATCACGTGGTCTGTTCGGTAAAGGAGGTGGCTTCAACGCTAAAAAACGGCATCTTGTTTAGGATGAAATTCGTGAGTGAACCAATTGAATTGTGACTTCTAAAATGGTATTTCTATCATGATGGAAAATTTTTGACTGCTTTACAATGGAAACATCGGAATCTAACATGAAACTATTCTTACTCTCAGCCAATTCTTCCTTTTTTTCGGCAGCTGTATCAAAGAAATATTCGATCAATCGGAAAGCTTAGAGCGCTCTGAGGCTCAAAAAACGAACGGGAGGAAAGAATAAGTTCAACCTTCTCCAAGTTTCAAGGATTTGTTATAACATATTGCTTACATGGAATGTTGGAAGCTTCGCTCGTAGTTATTTTGCCATTTTGGTGTGTTGATTTTTCTTCCGCATTGCCCATTAAATCCACGGAACCTGACGTGCTCATTTGACTCGTTGCCGCATTCGTGCTTTTAGCACCCTATAAAAATACAAAAATCAGAACCATGCAAGCTAGCGCCAGAACAAAAGCAAAATGAGGACAAATGATTGCGAAAAAAGAACTCGATCATCACCCATCGCAACATAGTAAGTCTATGAAGTATCAATACTGTGATATTCAGATACTGTGGAAGAAGCTCAGTAAGGGCCAACGATCGTTGAAACAATTTGAGTTCTATCGTTGAAAGTGACTCAGTGATATCGCCTTGCCTTCTCGACGAGGCAGCAACCACAACTGAAACTATCGAATGTTACCTTAGTGTTCAGTTGGCTCTTTGGAAAGACTATCTTGTTGGTCTTGAGAATGGACTCGAGCTGGTTGATTCTGTCGCAGTACTGTGCATTAAGTGACTGAAGATGAGTGATGTTGTTGGCCATTGCCTTCAGCTGATGCTTAATTTGCATCTCCCGCTTGTCAGAAGAGAGAAACTTCCTAAATGCAACATCACAGTCATTGCTTTATTCATCAAAGATGAGCCAACGGGAAACTTCTGCAGAAAAGAAGGACGAACATTTTGCCGTCCACGACAATTTCGATGATTCAATCAAATTGAGTACCAATTGTGGATTCTTTCTGTTAGTAATCTATCTTGACTTTAAATTTAATTCGAAAGCTGCGTTCGGGGGGGGGGGGGTGTCACTGTTTGCTATTAATAAAGGCAGTACATTTCTAAACATAATAATTGTACTCAGAATATTTTACAGCATTTTCGATTTATTGAAACTATGACACGACAACTGCCCCTGAGTACAAATGCATCTGTGCTATAACAACAAATTCAAGTAACAGGGCACATAACAACACCTAAGATTTTTTTTATTAGCCCCCGGTCCAGTTCATATAGGATCAAACGCGCGGGAAGGTGATACCATCCATTTTGTTACATGCGGTCCCACCTTGAGGAGGCGGATGACTTTGGGACCCCTCCAACCGTGACCGAAGTGGGATTCAACGGCCCTCGAGTTAAGAGACGCGTGCTTTACCCCATTCACCCACGGCTGCTCAGGCTAAGATTTGAACGCCTTTACAACAGGAAAGGTTTCTTGAAGATGGCATGTATCTATCTATTTATGTATGTATGTATATATGTACCTGTAGCCGAGGTCGAATGCCTGTCCCACCGTGCGTACTATTTCATCCGCCCACTTCTCACTCTCGAACAGGTGGCACTTGAAGGGTGCATCTGCAGCAGATTCATTGCTACTCTTCCCATTAATACTATTATCGCCTCCTACACTGGCTGCGAATTTGCCATGCTGTGTCTAAATTCAGAAGAACAGTCCCGCTAATTTGTACAATAATTTGTTGGTTGTTCACTAGGTTCTCAGAACAATTATCCGTTTGCACGATATCAAGTTTTGTGCAGGGAGCTTTACGCAGTTGAGCACTTGGTACTCAAATGGTACCGTTCCATAGCTACTAAACTTCACAGCTATTAAACAAAATAAAATATACCAAAGACTAAAATTATTACAATATTTCTAAAATATTTTTAAAACTATAAAAATTATTCCAATTGATCTAAATTTCTCAATCAATAACTGCAAATATTGAGCATCGTTAGTTTTCAAAAAATTTAAATCTTAAAGGAAGCAGCCCATGATAAAAATCCGAAATGGAAGGCACTTGATTACGACTGCTTTTCAGCTCACTTTATTGCAATCTTAGCCTAATTGTTGTGATAAACTTATTAAATAGTTTCAGACGAAATGAACTAAGATTAGTACGATTTGCTTCGCGTTCTCTTACGACATCACATCGCTGTATTCACATGGCAGAAATGGCATTATTGCGTGCACACCTAAAGAATGCCAATTTATCAAACCCAGAAGAAGTGAAAGGATTATTCGAAAGCTTTATTCACCGAATGGAGACATTGGACAATACTATCGAGCATCTCAAGTATGAAAATTCTCAACTGCGCAAGGACAATGTAATTATTCAAAACCGTGTACTTTGCTCTGAACGATATTTATCACGATCATGTTTGACATTTCTTGGCGTGAAATCCGGCGTGGATCCGATGGTACCAGTACTTGATATTATGAATCGTGTTCTAGGAGCTAAAGTGTCACCCGAAGATTTGGCTGCATGTCACTATTTACCGGGTAATGCAGAGAAAAAACCAATTATTGTTAAATTTATTTACAATGGGCAGCGTGACTATGTATGGCGAAACAGATTTACGTTAACTGACAATGAATCGACGAAGAATATTTTCATCGTTGAGAGGCTTCCAGAAATTGACCGAGATACAGTGAATTATGCAAAAGAGAAAGGTTTGAAATTTAAAACAAACAATTGTCAACCACTTCTCAGAATAAATAATAAATGGGTTCCAGTTAACAGTCGCGGTGAGATTGACAAAGTTGCCAGCGGATTTTCAGAAGAATTAGATGGTAACAAAATGGATACAGGAATTCAGGGAAATACACAGATAATCGACGAGTCTTCTTATTCCAGAAATGAGTTATTCCAAATGAAACATGGTACTGCGAAAAACAAATATGCAATGTATGGAAAACCTAGAGGGGAGAAGAGGCAACGAGAGAACGTTGATATGGAAGATAAACTGGACAAATTGTGTGGTCTAATTGAAAATGTAATCGCAGTGGTAAGCTCACCACCTGGAAAAATGGCAAAAGCGCCGGTCAATGTGATAGAGCAGGAGGACGCGGGTGAGATCGAACCTACTGATACTTAGCATTTTTAAAAAACCTAATCGATGACTTTGCCAGCTGATAAAACACTTCTTTTTCTAAATATAAGATCCTTGCGATGCAATTTTGACAATTTAGTGGGATTTATTGAAACTTATAACGAAAACCTATCGATTATCTGCCTTTCGGAAACTTGGTTAACTGAAACAGACCCATTGGCAATGTACAATATTCCGGGATTTCAACCGATAGTTTCTAGATGTAGAACCAATAAAAGGGGAGGGGGTGTTGCTTTTTATGTTATGACTGGCATTGACTTTATTATAAATGAAAATATTGTTTGCGAAAATGGGATTGAGGCATTGTGTATTAGACTTAAAAATGGATCTCTATCTTCAACAAACATTTGCGTATTTTATCGTCCGCCTAATATAAATATCGATCATTTTTATAGTTTTCTGGAACGCAACTTAGAAACGATGGTAAATTCAAAAACAATGTTCGTTGGGGATTCTAATATTGATACACTAGTTGAAAATAGTTGCTCAAAAGGGTTGAAAAATTTAAGTAAAAGTTACAATTTTGTTATAAATAACGCCAACGAAGCAACGCGCGTTACTAACCGTAGTAGTACTTGCATTGATCATATAATTTCAAATTTTCCTGTTGCAACACATAATGTAATTTCTGGTATTAGTGATCACAATATTATCTTCGCCGATATTAACGTGGTGTCAAACATAGATGATAACTTGACTTTTCGTAATCTGTCTTTTCTAAAAAAATCAACCGAAAAAATATTGTTTTTAGCAGATGTGAACCTGTTAAAAAATGTACCGGAAGGAACATGTGATGAAAAAGTTGAGTTTCTGATTAAAACAATTATCGATTGCCTAGATGTATTCGCTCCATTAAAAGTATATGGTAAAAAACGAAAAGTGAAATCACAATGGATAACTCCAGAAATTAGAAAACTAATTTTTAAACGAGATAGACTTCTTCGCCAACTACAGGCCTGCTGGTCGACTGAAACGCATGTCAATTATAAAATCATTCGCAATAAAGTAAACGCTTTGCTGCGATTAGAGAAACGGAACTTTTATACTAAAAAAGTGGAAAAGGTGACTAACAGTAAAGATTTATTTAAGATTTTTAAAAATGTTGGAATAGGAAAGACCGGGAATAACACAACGACACATATTGATGCGAATAAATTGAATACTTTTTTCTGTAACATTGGGTCGAAAATTGCATCGCAAATACCTTACTCATCAGTACCGATATGTAGATCGCCAAAACAAGTGCAATCAATGGTAATGTTTGAAACTAACCACAGAGAAGTTCTAGATGTTATCAATAGCCTTAAAAGTAAGTTCTCATGTGGACCTGATGATATTTGCAATGAAATCATCAGGCAGTTAGGAGTGGTAATTGCACCATTAATATCCGATATTTTTAACGAATGCATTCACCTTGATGTTTTCCCAGACTTACTGAAAATTGCCAAAGTGGTCCCTATGTTCAAAGATGGAGATAAAACAGATCCTGGTAATTACAGACCAATTTCGCTGTTGTCTTGCCTGAGCAAAGTCGTTGAGAAACTTATACATTCGAGGTTCATAAATTTTTTTGAGAAATTTTCTATTTTAAACATGAACCAATATGGTTTTCGATCTAAGCGATCTACGATTCAGGCTGTTGCGAGGCTGACCGAATTTGTAAGAGATGCTACTAATAAAAGAGCGGATGCAATTGCTTTGTTTTTGGATCTCAAGGAAGCTTTTGACACGATTGATCACAAAATTCTGATGCAAAAATTGGATCATTATGGGATCAGGGGTAAAAGTAACAATTTGATTAGAGCCTACTTGACTAATAGAAAGCAGTATGTTGAAATTGGAAATAATAGATCAACGCTTGAAAATGTTTCAACGGGAGTTCCACAAGGATCTGTTCTAGGTCCGCTTCTGTTTTTGATTTACATAAATGATTTACCTGATAGCACTAGTTTAGATACTACACTTTTTGCAGATGATACATCCATCATGACTTCTGGTAAGAATTCTGGAAAGAAATTAAGAACCGAATTTGACATAGTTTACAATTACTTATGTTGCAATAAACTTTCACTGAATACTGATAAAACTGTTCTGCTCAATTTCAGCAAGAAAAATGGAGAAATTGGTCTTGATATAAAAGGTGAATGCATAAAAATGGTTGATTGCACGAAGTATTTGGGTATCTACATTGATTCAAAGTTAGACTTCAAGATGCATATTGAACATGTTATTAAGAAATTGTCTAAACTGTGTGGAGTAATATGTCGTTCCAGAAAATTATTTAATATTCCAATGCTTCTACTGATATACAGATCCTACATCAAACCTGTTCTTCAATATGGCGTATTGGTTTATGGCTGTGCAAACTTAACAGATCTAAATAAAATTTTAGTAATACAGAAGAGAATAATACGTGCTATTTTTAGAATTGATTATAGAGAGAGCACAGTTGAAAAGTACAGACTGCATAAAATTGAAACGGTGTTTGATCTTCACGTTTACGAACTGTTTAAAGATATTTGCTACAATAATGGTTGTGATAGTACCACGACTAATAACGTGGCGTACTTCACTAGGAGAGTTGCTTCTGGAAAAGTTAATAGTAAAATACAAAGAACGAAATGTTTTCAAAATTCCATAAATGTTAGAAGAACCATTATTCATAATTATATAACTGCATCTGGTTTATTGAATGAAGATGTGACAAGTTTGCAGAGACATCAACTCAAGATTTTTATACACGATGTTTTTGATAATTATCTGCTTGATAATAAGGAAGTTCATAAACAGCTGTATTGTCATTGATATTTGAGTTTAAGGTTGTCTACTAGATAAGCCGTAGGCTTTTTAGACAATCCTTGTTGATGATTGTAAATATACATATTGTATTGTAATAATCGTCAACTGAATTAAATATTATATTATTATTATAAGTATTGAAACCAGGGCCGGATCTAAGATTTTCTCGAGGGGGAGAGGGGGTTGATTTTCAAAACATTTTCGATAATTTTGACGACCATTTTTTTAGACCAACCTAATTGATTTTTCGAGCTCTCCCAAATCACTAAAAAAACCCTGTTTTGGCCAAAATTTTTGCGCCGCAGCCAACATTAGCGTTTTTAAGCATTTTTTGGAAAAATTTTATTAAAAAACCGCTTTTTTTAGCCCGTGCTTCCCCCTTAAAATTAGTATATATTAGCACCGAAGGCTCCTTTAAGAATTTTTAGGGTCATTCAGCAAAAAATGGATATCTCAAAATAACACAAAGAAGGAACCCTTCGAGTCGAATCCTTGAGGGCGGGGGGCGTTCACCCCCCCCCTAAATCAGCTTCTGATTGAAAGACAGTCGAAGCTGAGGTTCGCACCACCTGCGATACAAAAATGAACGAGGGTGATTGAAATGAAAAGAAATATCAAAAATTGGAAAACAAAAACATGAAAAAAGCATAGAGTTTCTAACCACAAGCCTTTGCCGTCTCAAGCAGGTAGAGGTGTATTACCTCTACGTCAGATACGCCAGGTGGTTAATTGAATTTGGATTTATAACAGAGGCGAAGCTTCGTTTCGCACCACTTGCGATACAAAACAAGACAGCCGCTATGTCGGAAACTGTCAAGGAAACTAGATCTATCAAAATGAATATAGCTAATTATGCAACAAAGACATGTCAAGACAACAGAATGTGAAAGTAGCATCGGAAAAAATTACCAGGAGGTAACAAAGCCGAAAATACCTAAGCAGAAACCCGTTGAGCCAAAAAAAATCAATAAGACTTAAGAATTAAAAAATTTAAGATGTCTCCCTCGGCCTCAAAACCCACACATACACAAAACTTATTTTCTCGTCAAATGAACCATAAGGAGGACACTAAGCCAATATAATGCAGGCCGAAATCTATTAAGCTGAAAAAAGGGGAAAAAATCGAACAAAAAATTTAAGACTAATATAAAATTATCACGTCCCCCTCACCATCAAAACAAACACACAAAAATTGAAGCGCAATGAGCTTTTTTTCTGAGGTTCAAATTTTGCAAATTAGAATTAGAGCAGTACATATATACTGAAATTGAGCAGAAAAGATGAACACTAATTTGAGAGAGTTAGTCTGGTAAAAGTGAACTCGCATTTTGACAGTTGGATTCTAATTTAATCAAAAAGAAAGCTCCCGATTCGCCAAAAAACAAACAGTAAAAGCATGTAATAGCTGTGGTTTGAGAGAATCTATCATTTGCTTCCAAGATCATAAAGTGTCTGCCACTAGACAATAAGAACAACTACCTTCTTAGGAAGTACTGAACATAATAATTAGCCGAAGAAATTGAAAAATCTTCAAACAATAAGGGCTGAACAAATGAATCTAGAGAGGAATAAGAACTTGTAATAATAATTAACACCACTCACTCTAGACTCCTCCTTGTGTTGTTGTTGTTTGCTGTCTCTGTCTCTGTTGGCCACAATCAGGGCCACCACTCTCTTCACTGCCCTGTCGTCTGCCACGTACGCTATGTCACTTATGTTGAACTTGTCAACCTCCACCTGCGCACACCAATCAACGTCACACTTTTTTTAACCCATTCAACTAATACTCTTAATTAGGTGGTGCTGTATTTTATTGTGTGTAGGCCGTTCGTTAGTACAGTGCTGATTTAAATTATTCGCACAAAAGGAACAAAACTTGTGTTTTCAAACAGGGGCGGATCTAGGATTTTCTCGAGGGGGGGGGGGGGGCGGATTTTCAAAAAATTTTGTCGACCTTTTTTTAGGTCGACCGAATTAATTTTTTGAGCTCTCCCTAAGCACGGTTTAGTACCTGTTTTAGCAAAATTTTCTGCGCCGCAGGCAAAATTTTGAAAAAACAGTCCAAACCGTTTTTAGGCACTTTTTGGATAGTTTTGACCAAAAATCGCGTTTTTTCGGCGCGCTCCCCCTCAAAATTAGTATATATTGGCGCCAAAGGCGCCTTTAGAAAAATTTTAAGGTCCGTCACCAAAAATGGATATTTCAAAATAGTACAAAGGGGGGACCGTTTGGGTCGGCAGGGAGTCTAATCGCCCCTGTTTTCAAACCTCTTTTTCTCAATTTGGGTAAGATAAGACAAAAAGTGAAGATAACTAAAGTTGCTTAGAACTTCATCAGAATTAATATGATGCACTTTTTTCTCAGAAGTTCTCATCCAAAATTTCACCACAAATATGGGTCATTTTTGTGGTGAAATATGGGTCAAATATGGGTTGTTTTTAATTAAACAAAATTTACGCTGAAATTCTTTTGTTAATAAATAATAAAATTATATCACAAGAAGCCTGTTACACATCACAACAAAGTTCTAGAAGGGTTGAATCTCTAAAAACTTGTATAAGAGAAAATACTTTTGCTTGATTGTCAAGAAATGTGATTTTTACTGAATAAAACTCAAAATGTTTGCTTAAAACAAAATTTTAAACAATTTGCTTTAGTTTTTTGAGATTCAACCGTTAACCAACTTTAAACAATTTGCTTAAGTTTTCGGCGATTCAACCCTCCTAGAACTTTGTTGTGATATGTAACAGGCTTCTTGTGATAATCTTATTATCTATTAACAAAAGAGTTTCAGCGTAAATTTTGTTTACTTAAAAACAGCCAAAATTTTGGATGAGAACGTCGGAGAAAAAATTGCACCATATTAATTCTGATGAAATTCTAAGCAACTTTAGTTTTCTTCACTTTTTGTATAATCTCAACCCAAATTGAAAAAAAGCGCGTTTGAAAATTCAAGTTTTGTTCGTTTTTGGTCCGGATAATTTAAATCAGCAGTGTATTGCGTCGTACTATTTCCTAACCAATTGATATCATTGCGGAAATAGCAAGTTTGAGCAAAAAATAATCGTTCGGACCATTCAAGGAGAAACTTTGTATTAGGGTGTTATTGTTTTTTTAATTTTCCACGCATTATCAGGTACCACAAATAATAATCGAATTAGGTCGAGTGATAGATCATATTTAAATCCTTGCAGTCGTGATTCTAACAGACTATAAATGTTTCAAAAATTTGTACCAGTGTTCCAGAGACAAGAAAAACTGATTTGAAACTTTTGAATTTGATTCTAAATTCGAGCGAGTAGAGCAATCAAGTAGTCTTATAATAGAAAGATAAGCACTAAAACTTTCATTCGAGTCCTGAAAACTTAGTTTCACTCCAGTAAAATCAGTTTTCGAAGTATTTTTAGCGTCATTTTGGAAATCAAACACTTCAAAAATTCAAAAAGTTTCTGCAAAAAATCCATTTTACTATGGCTGCCAAACTTGCCAAGTTCTATGCTTTTTCAGATATTTTCATCAAATCACGCACAAAAAAAACGACTCATTTGAAAAAAAAATATTGTAGTTTTCTAAAGAATATGGCCGAAACATTGTGATACTTGGACAGCAACATACTATCCTTGTTTCTAATTGTTTGTAATAGTTACTGAAGAGCATGCATTAACATAAAATATGGGATTTAAGATTCTTATGACCTATGAAGCCGCCGTTGACATTTGTGATAAAAACAACAAAAAAAATCACAAATCTTGATCAAAAAGGGTTCCGAGAAACAATTCCTCAAATATCTTCTGCCAAAGATATTAAGCAAAGAAATCAATGCTCATTCAAAATTAATCTCATTTCAAGTCACTGGATATTAATCCGGATTTTATTTGACAACAGTCAACCTGCCCGCGCATTCTTTTATGGTGTTGATAGCATCCCTTAGTATAGCGTCGAGTTTTTTCATATGAAGAGCACTCTTCTTCGTCTCTTAAGAGCTGGTTAAGTTCAAACTGCCACAATCGGTATGAGTGCTTAAATTCTGTCGAATAAAGGAGACTCGCAACACTAACACTACCCACTCACCCGTATCTTGGACTCTCTGACTGTGACTTTATCAGCTGATATGTTGAGGTACACTCTGGGTGGTTTGGTGGTCCCTGTCTGGGGGGTTCCCTGGTTGCTGAGGTGAGTCAGCTGCTGGATGGCACCCTTGATCACTCTGTCTCCCTGACTCTCACTCACTCCCGTCCAGCCATAGTACTAAACATGAGCACCATTCACTATCCGACAAGACAAAACATCAGACTAACTTTAAGTTCACATTCATTTATAATATACATGCAAGGCACTATAACTAACAACACAACAATAGCCTTAAAAACCAAAGAATCTTTTCTTTATATATCTGCTTTAAATGCATGGCCAGTTCTGAGCAGATCAACAACAATTGGTCGCTAAGCCAGAGAAGAAAAACGTAGGAAAAGAACAATTGAAGGCCAGTTTTATTTTCTGACAACTTAACGTGTTTTGTTTTATGCGACGCAAAACCATGTACCAAGAATAGAGGTCAGATTTGGTTGAGTCAGCTTCTTCAGTCGTGTTTCAAACTGCAATAAAAAACTGCCAAAACTGTCTCATTTTTCTTTTCTTTTTGTTTTCCACGCTATATCAGGTACCACAATAAATCATCGGAATGGGTAGAGTTATATACCAAGTTGAAGCCCTTTCAGTCGTGATTCGAACAACTCCAAAAAAATTCAATCAATTTTCTCGCTACCGAGAAAAACTGATAATGAATTTTTAAATTTTATTTCAATTTCGAGCGAATAAAGCGAGCGAGCAGGCTTACAACAGCTTATGTCTGCTAAATTTAAGCCCTGAAAACTTAGCTTTAAGCAAGTAAAACTAGTTTTTGGAGACTTTTAGCGCTTTTGGGAAATATTCTGCGAAACAATTGAAAAATAAATTTTTTGTTTATTTTTGTTTTCATTGTCATTTTTCTAGAGCATTTTTTGTCCAATTTGCCTATATAACTGACTGTCGAATATTCCTTTTTATATAGTTTTAAGCCAGATTATTTTATCACACCGCGCAGGAAAAATTACACTAATTTGAAAAAAAAACTTTCTGTAGTTTTTTAAAGACTATGGTCGGAACATCTGTGCCACTTGCACAGTAACCGGCTATCCTTGTTCAAATTTTATATTGTATGCAGCTTGATAAGTATTAAAACATTTATCAGACATTTTTAAATTTCAGCATTTTGTTCAAGTGTTTAGCAGACAGATCAAGCTCGACCCCTCCAACCATCTCGCTTTTCCCTCCCCCTTCAACCACGAAACACTTAAAAACTATCGGAACTTAGTTGGCCTTTTATGCTATTTGCTCAACACCCAGCCATTTTGCAACCGTTTGGATTTCTTGATGTTAGATGAAGATGGTATTATTTGTACTTACCTTTACGAAGTATTCGACACTACTAATTAGCAGCTTGTCAGGGTGGTGAGGCCACAAGTTCTGCTCTAAACACAAGCACATGTCTCACTCAACTACCACTTGACTGAGATACAAAAAATTCCAGAATTTCGGCTAAAATAGTGCGCTAAAAAATAATATTCTGCTTTCGATAATATTTAAATTTTCAAGAAGCGACGAATGGCCTCTCTTATACAGAAAATAACTAACAGAAAAAAGATATTCCTCTTACGAGTGTGATAGAATACATTTGGTCAACCTATTTTTGTTAACGGCGATAAAACAAATGTACATTCCAAAGTTTTTGTAGACTAAAATTTTTACCCCGACAAACATCCAAATTTGGTATTCCAGAGATAATTTTTCAAAATGGACGAGTTCAAACGTCTCGCTTAACCGAATATTTCGAGAAGACTCAAACATTCTTTCGCCGTCTTCAGCAGTATCAACAGACTTACAGGTGTCAAGATTGAAACAGTAAACTGAAACTCACTTCAATCAGGCCAAAGTAGAAAGGAATTCTCCAATCTAACTCAGTAACTAAACTTGCCTCGGTCGCGCTTGTCCAATTGAGATTGGATTTTGTCACTCTTGTATTCTCTCAAAATCTTCTTCATCTTCATATATTTCAGTTATTGTAGTCCAGAAATCGCCATAGCATAGCATAATCATTGCATTTTTTCTGGAAAAATAGCTTGATGTCATAGCCAAAATACTAACTTCAGTGTTACTAAACAATGTCAAATCAAAACTTTTTTGAGTTTTCTTTTTAGAACCTCAATCACAAACAAAAATAGCTTTAATATGACACCGCAATTGATCCTCTAAGATCTTTCTCTGAGGTTGTCAAAATTAACTGAAAAAAAAACCGAACCAAAATTCCTTCACGATCTTCGAGAGTTGTCGGAACAACTTCAGTCTCTTCTGGGTTTTTGGGAATTGCCAGAACCCTCACAGCTGTGCACATCACTGTTACCAACCACATCGAACTCTTTTAACTTAGTTTAAAAAATCCAAACATTACTTGCAGATAAAAATTTATTCAATTTAATATCATTATTTACAAACATTATAAAAATATTCAAAAAATTCTAGGAAAAATTATTTTTAAAAAGGATTGAGTCAAGAAAGAAAGAAAACTAAGTTGATCTATTTATTTTGCTTGTTGTTTGAGAGACGTGATCTCCTTCGATATGAGGTCTACCATCTTGCGAGCACTTTTAGTCGCTGGCACTTCCATCTGTTGAAGAGCCACTTCGGCTGCGGCCCTCACAGGTGCGATTGGATCGTTCCTCCAGATCTGCAGGATCCTCGGGATGGCTTGTTCGCATTTCATCTTGCCCAGTGATAGAATGGCAGCTTCTCTCGCAAGTCTGTCCGGGTCTTCTGTTGTCACAATCAGTGCCTCATACACCTGCGAGAATGATAAAAAACAAGCATATCTGGCCGAAGATTTAGTCTTCAGAACAAAGCAAACATGCCAACTTTGCGCGATTATTTTTCAAATCCGTGTGCGATTATTTGAGAAAACAGTCCCGAAAAGAGTTTTTCAAGTCTTAGTCAACACGATCCTGACTCTCCATTTTTGGCATCATTAGATCATTAGATGAAAAATATTAACGCAGCTATTGGGAATCTCTTTATAAAAATTGAGACATTGAGTGACAGTCATTTCGTATCATCACAATAAAACGAACTTACAGTAAATCTGGCATTGTAACTAGTCTTTTCGTTGATATATGGGAGGTCTAACTGACTTTATTTGAATTGAACTGAATTAAAGCATCTCACCATACCTCTTGATGTCCCTGTCCGACTTTGGACAGACTTATTGCTGCCACTGCTCTCAAATTGGCGTCAGGCTCCTCTAGCAAGTCCAACAGAGAACTCACAACGGCTGCTGTTTTGAATGACGCTTAACACAACAAACGCATAAAAACATCTTCCACGATGCAGCTGTCATATCTTATGCCCAAACAGCATGGAGACAGTACCTACCCAAATTTCTTATGGCGTCCATACGAATGATGCTGTTCATGTTAAACACCTCCTTCATGGCCAAATTTCCTGCCGCATAATCTATCACTCGCGAGTAGAATGTCTTCCTGGGCAATTTGGAATCAGCAGCTGTAGCAGCACTACCAATTCCTCTGAAGTCCAGGAACAGCTGCTTCGATATTATTTTATTTCTTCCGAATGCCTCCTTGAACAGCAGTTTTTCAAGCCACTCCATCTGTTTCTCGTCAAACTGCAGATCCAGAAGATCCTTATACTCTGTACAAAAAATGAAGGGAATCAATTATGGCACTAAACTATGGCTCAGTAGTGCTGAGGTTGTTATGACACCTAGTCGATTCTCGCTAAATAATTCTCACTTTTCCAGAAGTATTTCAAAATCTTGTAAAAGTATTGTGCCACCCATTTCCATAAGGGAAGAGACTACCGACCAATGAAGATTTTTTCGAAAGAATTGAGCACGTCAATTATGCTATTGGTCCAAGCTTAGTGTCAGACCGTTTTTAAAACCCCGTTAATCGTTTATCTGATTGCAAAAAGATATTTCAGCAAAACTGTCTCAGTTTCTAAGCGGTCAGAATGCTTCAGTTTTTCAAATTTCAGTCGAATTTACAAACCTTGCCAATAGTTCTTGGCGCTCCGCTTCGCAAATATGAACACATCAGTATTTTTATTTTGTCACTCAAGACAGTAAAAAATGGTTCAATCATCTGTTCTGAAAGAATGTTTCGGGCCTCCATGTTTCTTAGAACTGAAAAGCATGTACTTTTTTCAATTATTCATAGTAATAACCATGGCCAAAACAGTCTGTTCTACTAAAACAGCGAACGCAAAAGCCGTTCTTCTCGAATAGTTTTTTCTCACCTATGACGAAGCAAAGCCAAAGAGACTCAAACGAAACAGCACTGTGGCCTGCGAAGTTCCTCTCCCAGAAGTCACTTTCGCCCTCGGCTTCAATGTCTCCCTCTCGCACAGTCGTATTACCTAAAATAAGATTCTTCTATAGAACTCACCAGAACAAGCGAGTATTGATATTGACAACTAGTATAAAACAGCCAAACCAAAGTAGTATACGGCGAAACCATTTAAGCCGAATCACCTTAAAAGCAAAAATTTTTAACTGTTAGCACACAGGCAAAGCGGAGCTTCACATCACTTGTCAAACAAAACTAAAAGCCAAAACTGAAAAAATTAATGCCAAAAGCCACTCTGGGACAAATTTACAACCCAAATGTAAAACAAAAAGAAACGAATAATCGAACTGTTGATTTTTTTATTCTTAAAGCAATCATAAACTTAAGCCATAAAAAAATTCGGGCTATAACACTCCATAAATGGCTTTCCCATGATGAAAAGATGGTTTCCCAAAAATTGAAGTTTCGTTTAAAAATGGAGGTCTAAAATTCCAAATTTTACTTGAACACAGCTTTGAATCTTCAAAAATTACTTTTCTTAAATTCCAAATAAACTGCAAAATCAAGCGCATTTAAGTGTATAAAAAGACTCCACCAATCGATTGCTGTTAACTCTGGTTAAAATGAAAGAATAAAATTAACGAATTTTGTTCACAGGACTCATCTCCAGGTGGTACCTTGGTTCATAATGATTTCAAGTTTTTCACCGTCTCCAGCACACTTAGCCTGGAAGTAACGAATACGCCTGAGACGGCGAAGGTTCTAGGTTCGGATCTGATCAGGACCCGGTTTTTTATCAAACGAGAAATAACCTGTTTCAAATAAAATTCTCGGCCTGTAATTTGTCTGCTATGTTTTTACAGCACATTTTTTTGCTGCACGTTATTTTGATTGCAGTTGCTTTTAGTGTTTTGATTTACTCCTGCAATTTGTAAACTTACTTACATTGGACTAAAATGCTGAGAATGGAATTTATAGTTCCCGAAATATTTCATGTCAACAATTTTGTTTTCGGTTCTACCAGAACTTACCCAAGTTTTGCCGGCTCATTTGCCACACGAGAATTGTTTTGAATTTTCAAAAAAGGTTGTGGATTTTGTTTTTAGCCGTGTTTTCCGCAAATGGAACATTCCAATAAACAAGTTTTTTCCGATATTTAACACAAGTGAAGCAGCTCTTCAGGTATTAAACACAAAGAAAGCTGCGCTTCGCTAACACTAGCGAGAAAACAAAAAGCAGCTCTATAAAATTAAATAAAAAGTAAAATAAGCCTTGAACATTAAACACTCTGTTGTGGCGGATTCCATCCGACAACCAGGAGACTTAAAGTCCCCTGCCCTCGGAATTGCGCCATGGGCCTCTGACAATTAACTACACAGATGCGAAGCTGAGCTTTGCACCACTTGCCATAGAACAATTATAGGATGAGTGCATCATGATAGTTAAGAAAATAGCGAGAAAAAACGAGAAATTAAAAATCAAAAACAAACTTTTTCGTGTTTGAACTGCCACAGACTTATCGTTCTCAAAAAAACTACATTTTAAAGGAAAAAAATTAAGTAACTAAACCCACAGAAATGAAGAAGACATCCAATAAGCTGAAAACCAGCCGACAAATTTCAACAGAACAACACATGGAATAAATTTCATGCAACTCCCAAGGATCAACAACCGAAATATCAGTAGCGTATGCAAAGCAGACGGTATAATTTGGAAACTAAACTGACAGAGCTTCATTCGACAACCATGAGCCGAAAAAATATCAGCAGAAAATTAGTATCACAACTCAATAAAACAGAAAAGTTCTAAATATAGCATGCCGTAGGAACTAGCACCCTAACATGTGGACGTTAAATTGATGAAAATGAGCAAGTCAGCATCATAAGTGATTCAATTGATTTTGTTAAACTAGTTGATAACTCGAATAAAACTCTATATTCTAATTTCATAACGCTTGCTAATCGCAATCGGAATAAATTATGCATTTCAAAAAATTGCGAGACAAAAAGAAAGGGACAATTTCTTGCAAACAAAATTACCTAGAACCAAAGCTTCGGTTCGCAGACACTTGCGAGAACACCACGACAAAAGGCAGCTCTATAAAGTGCACTAAAAAAACTTACAAATTAGCAAAAATTCGTCTACCTCTGAGATTCGAACCTGCGACCTAGAGATTAGGAGTCTCGACAACTAACCACTAGGCCGCGGAAGCTTAATAGGTACCAATAATCACTCAGTCACAAATAAAGCAGAGAAGAGATGCTATGCAACTTCCAATACTCCAGTGAAAATTCCAAATAAGTGAACACATAAAAAACATGTTTAATTGCGAGTTAGTTTAGAAAAAAAGAAGGTTTGTAAAAACACACTAAGCTGGTCGCAAGTGTGATTATTGCCCTATGGTTTGAAACAAATAGTTGATGATTTTTAAATGAACAAATAAACCAAAAAAAATGTGTTGACTAATCACTAAGTGAATGTCAGCACATTCTATCAAAAAGCCGTAAGTGGCACCAATATATGCAACTTAGTTTAGAAAAAAAAGAAAACTCGTACTAGTACACTGCGCCGGTTTTGCACCAGATATAAAAAAAACATATTTGCAGGTAAAAATTGGGAAGATAAGAAACTAAAAGCATCCACACTAACTTTGCATGTAATAAATTGGAAAGCATAAAGCCATATTATGTAAAAAACAGGCATTACAAAAAATTGCTAGATATACTGATGTGAAAAATTTCTTGAAATCAAGTT